CGCCAACGCAAAACACGTAAATAGTTTATATATTTGACACCGAAAATAAAACAACGCCATTAGTATGTCATATCAAATCATCGAGAGGGTTTCTTGACTTCGCCTGGAGTTCTCTCATTCAATACCGTGAATAATTCTTTTCGTTGGATCGGTTTCGCTAAAAAGAGGTCCATTCCTGACCCATAGGCTTCGTGTCGATCACTAGCACTTGCAAGGCCAGTCAGAGCGACAATAGTCACAGGTGTAAATGATTCTTTTGTTGAAATATCAAGTGTGCTCTGATACTCCCGCTCAGCCTTGCGAATAAGCCGAGTAGATTCGAACCCGTTCATTACAGGCATAGAGATATCTGTGCTTGTCAGAATAGTGCTTCATATACAAGAAGCAAAGAACTTACCCATCAGGATCACTCCAAACTTTGTAGGATGGGCTTTGAAAATGTTCAACGCCTCCAAACCATTCCGGGCAGTCGTATACCTGTATCCTTCTTTCTTCATATGTGCAACCAATATCTGCAGATTGATATCATTGTCTTCGACCAACAACACTGTCAGAGTAGGCTCCTCTATCTTGGGCGATCCCTGTCGGATTGGTAGAGTAATGGCATTACTTTCATTTTGAGAAAGATGAGTGTCTTCAAGTTGCTGCGAGTCTTGCGTTTCGTCCAACTTGCGGTATTGATCATCTATCGCCCTTTTTCCTGCTTTGTGTTTTTCGAAATCCATCTCATCTTCTGCACGTTGTGTTTCGATATCTTCCTTGGAAACTGGAGGAGGCTCCGTCAATTGGAAAGTAACCCTTCCTCGAGGTGAATCTTGATCTATATTAGGGTCACTCTCAGCCAGAGGGTCCTGACCTTGTTGTCGCTTGATGCAGATGTTAAATGCCTTGGCCAGCTTTCGTGGGCCACAGGGCTGGCTGATAAATTCGACAATAGTCTCGTGATTTGATTGGTTTGCTGCAACAAACATGAGATGTGCTGCCTCCGGCGACCGACAGATCACCACAATCGGAGATCTTCGATTCTCCACATTGCTATGGGAAGGATTCTGGGTTTTCGACAACCACGATTCCCAAGTGTTGACTGAATTGGTATCTGTCTGCACTGCAACGTAAAAATCGCACGAGGGGAAAGAAGCGTCCACTGGATTCAGGATATGGACATCCATCTCGAACCAGTTCTTGCACAATTTCTCCAAAGAAGTACAGAGAATGGTATCGCGATCGGATATGTCAGGTGATCCTAGCTCCAAGAGTCCCAGGGTCGCGCCACGTGTAATATGTTTCATTTTCAACATGGGCTCTGGCTCAGAGGAGCTGGCATTGGATTTTTGAGCGGGCACGTGGGTAAGAGGGACTTCAATCGAGACTTCAGTGCCACGACCCCGGAGTGAAGTGACTTCAATATGACCACCCATGGACAGAACCGCATGGTGAACGATGCTTAACCCGAGTCCGTTTCCAGGTGCAAGCGAGTCTTCTTGCGTGAATGGAGTGAATAAACTACTCTGAAGATACTCCATGCTCATCCCGATACCCGTGTCCTTGACTGTAAGGGTCACCTTAAAATCCGAAGGTCCTCCGGGGACAGCATCTTTGGCAGGAGCGACAGGAGATGCCGTTAACTTCACCAAGATAAAGCCAGCCTTGGTGTATTTGAGGGCGTTGCCGAAAATGTTCATCATGATGCGGCGCCAGGCGCCTATTTGGGTGGAGAATCTCCATTCGGCAGCTTCGTCGATATCTAGGATGATACTGACCTGACTTGCTTGCTGGAAGGGCCCCAATACGTCGAGTGCCATGTGATTTGGACGGTCTATCGTCATTGATCTTTGTGGGCTGTGGTAGAAACTGTAGCCTGCGAAGACACTTTCCATGACCTCTTCCAGAACAGCATCCAGCTGGATATCAGACTTCAGACTAATCATCCCACTATGCCGTGACCGTCGTGACGGCTTCAGGCTATGAGGTGATGGATCCGTGTTTTTGTGTCGTTTTAGAGGGCTTTTCCGTTTGTGGAGAGCTTTGTTGCCTCCTTCCTTCCGGAAATTGTTTATCTTCGAAAAGTCCAGCAAATGGTTGATCGTATCCAACAATGTCCGCCCACACGACTCAATAGTGTGTACCAATCCGTGCTGAAGTGCGTTCATCGCCGTGTCCCGAAGTATTTCTGAAGTGCCAAGAATGCCATGGAGAGGACTTCGTAACTCGTGCGAGATGCTGCTGACCAGATTTGTTTTCGCCTTTTCCGACATCTCGACATCCAGACGATGTACCTCCGCCATGATACTATTTCCGAAGGCCGCGAGATACGTGAGTTCAGTCTCGGACGTGAAGACGCGTCGAGGGGTATTCGTCCATACTAGAGCGCCCGAGAACCACCGAGCTCGGTGGGAATCCCACATCGGCAGGAGAGCAATACTGCGAGCTCCCGGGAATAGTCGAATGAGGATATTTCCATCCTCTTTGAGCGTAGCACTGCGCGTCTTTTTCCGGTTTCCTCTCCCTCTTCTGCCAATGAGGTCGGCGTTGATCGGGTTTGAGCTCTCGCGGTCCAACGAGCTCTTCCAGGGTCCATCACTGCTTTCGTCCGAGGACATCGATCCCTCTTCGCTGAAATTGAAGATCTTACCATGTGGATAGCGCCGCAGAAGCGTCTTCAATAATACTTCCCGGAGGGCAAGTCTTCCTTTTGATTCATCGTTGATACTGGATGTAGTCGAAGTCGAGAAACCTAGGATTTCACATACGGTCGTATCCTCTGGAACTGTCTCCTTCCCGGCTGATGCGGTAGAGGATTTCTGTGAATCAGATCCGGCGCTGCTATCGTCGCTGCTGCCCATGGAGCTTTCCAAAGTACCGCTATCTGATCCTGGCCCCTTTCGTTTCGTATCGCTGACGAGGCCACCATAAGATCCGATGCTCGCATCGAAGAACGCGACGCCTTCGACTTCTATCGACTCCCGGATGATGTTGGCTGCTCGCGAAAAGACTTGTCGAACCCCGATTGACAGCATGTCGTCCTGAAGATTTTCGGTCGATGCCGTGCTTCGGACGGAGAAACTAGTTTGTGTTTCGGCTTTGTTGAGACTTGATATCTGGTCGATACTGGCGTCTGAATTCTTATCAGATGTTGATGAGGAGGAGAATGGTCCTGGGGAGAGGCTCGGCGATGGTACATCGAACAAATCGGAGGATATGGAATGCTCGGGACTATTTCGTGGAGAGGGCTGTGACTGTGGCGGCGGGGATGATGGGCGAGTGTGGACAGTTGTGAGCAGACCGGATTTGATTTGTGCATTTTGCTGCAGCATATTCAGATGGCCTTCGTCATGTTCCTGTTCATTCAGGCGTAGTCCAGTATCCTGTACCCACTCCTTACGGAGGGTCGTCTTACCTTCAACAAAACTTCCGAACCCCACAATCATTCTCTCTGCGCGATGATGTTCCGCTTTACATCTGGCCATGTCCAGATGGGTCATGATGGTCGATGCCATATTTTGTAGGAACTTTATCAACGAGGGGTCCAATCCGGACCGTGGCTCGTCATCGATAATGCAGTAGGATCCGATGGTGATCCCTTTGGAACTGATTATGGGGGCGCCTGCGTAGAACCTCGCTTTGGGAGGGCCGGTGACCATGTTCAATTTGTTAAACCGATCATCCTCGCGCAGATCAGGTACCATGTAGATACCCCCCTCAATCACATGTTCGTCGTCTGGTTTGATTTGCGGTAGGGAAGCGACTTGTTGACATATCCCTTCCTCTTTGGGGACAACACAGCAACCCAACCATAAGGCATCTCGATCATTCTCCACTGTATGATCTTGAAGACTGAGTGTTTGAGTGGCCTCTGCAAGGATGTAATTTTGGTCGCGACCAAAAAGCGAAATCAAGGCACGTTGAGCCTTCAACCTCAAAACTCCTAACTGGGCGAAGGCCGTCAAAGCGGTATCTGGCGACGATCGGGGAACGTAGGATGTCTGTTGATTCTGCGCATTCTTAGGAATGTCACAGACGGTTGGGCCAGATTGGAAAACTTCGTTGAGTTTAAGATATCTTTTTATCGTAAGACTTCAGCTTGCATTTCGGCAGAATGGGGGATGGGATAGTGGAACCCCACATACTTGTATAGTTCCCTCTCTTGCGCTAATTTGAACTTCGGTTGTTCGGCTTGGGCTGGCTCTGACGATGACATGAGATGTATGTAGTGAATTTTCTTTCCGATGATAATCACCGGACTCGGTTGTTAGAAGAGAGGAGTGATACCTAAATTTTGAATTGGAATCTTGAAATCTTGGAAGTGGGCCCAGTATTACATAAGATTTGATCTATACCTAAATAGTAGATTGGCACACGGGTAGAGACATAAAATATGAAAAGGGCCGATCCGTCAATCATATTGCAAGATTCCCATGATCTGGACTTTCTGACAGGAATTCATGGAGAATTGTGTCCACACCGCTTTCGGGGTTGACTTCCAAGCACGTGATATAGACTTGCATAGTCCTATGTTCTCGAATGAAAGATCATCTATATAACTTTTTTAATCACTGCTAACTACATGTCTTCATTGCTGCATTATCTTTACCCGCATCACTGGACCCTGATGAGTTTTCCGGGCATAAATCATATAATAACCGAGTGAAACGACAACAACACCCCCAAAGATAGCCACACTCCAATTCATGGTAGTGGGAAGAAACTAAAAACCCAAATAACCAGCAAAACCATGATAGAAATGGTGTCACAGATGGGGGTAAACTTGGCCATGCTCCAACGTGCCGGTGGTAGGGGCTGATTGCGCCAGCGTCGGAGACGAACGCAGGTGATGGAAATGATATAGGAGGACAGAAGGGCGGCTTATTAAGAGACATAATGGCGTTGAAAGCCACAGAAGATCCAATGTTGATCAAGGAGAGGAGAGAGACAATAACGAGACTGACGCAAAGGGCATTTAGTGGAACGGTGAAGGTCGGGTTAACCTGTTTTTCCCTATCTTAGTCCAAGCAATAGATGGGGTCGTGTCGAAGACTCACCTTTGCCAAGAAATCCGAAAAAGGAAGACCCTTGTCTCGGGCAAAAGAGTAGATTTGACGGGAGGTTGTGGCAACATTGCTGATTGCCGCGCAAAATTGCATGATCATAATCACCACTGTCATGCCAGTCGTGGCGCTGACTGATTCCGTAGCGTTGAGAAAGACCTGAATGAAGGGAAAGCCTGTTTCAGACCCGAGCATTTCATCAATGTCGCCCACGCAGAACGCAAATGTGACTATCATGACAAATCCAGTAGACCCATTGAGGATCAGTGTCCAGAGCATGCCCATGGGGAGCACCCGGGATGCATCTCTGATTTCCTCCGCTGCATTACAGTATTAGTCATTTTCCCTACATGGATTGGGCAATAACAGGACACATACCCATATGAACCGCTGAGTCGGGACCTTTTTCGAGATATATCATTAGCAACGGCCAAAATAGGATCCACCAACGCGGGGACATACAAATCAATGCATATATGGGTCCAAACAGCCCCGCCATGCACGAGAGTCCATTGTTACCCCATCCCCCCCCGGTCCTCAATCGAACCAAATACTTTGGATGCAGGAACTTTAGGGGACAACACACAAAGTAGGATCAAAATTCCAAAGAAACGTAAGCAGTGCACAATCAAGATGATACATTCGATCAAGGGGAGCTTCTGGGCTAGGAATGTGTTAAACATCAAGGCTACCAGGGCAACCGCAATGACGAGCAGTGTGACATGCCATGGGTCATAAGTATATGTGTCAGGGTAGTTTATGGAAATCACGCCAACCATCATGTTGGCCACTGTATAGCAGCATCCTGCGATACCAGTATGCCACCCCAACACGCAGATCCAGCCGGTGATGTAACTCAACAGGGCCTGTGAACTGGGGGGGGGGGGTGCAAATTCTGACACCCAATGATACTGAATAGTATGTATGCATGGTCCACATACGTACATCGTACACATACCTCGGGAACAAATGGAGTATATTCGAACAATACAAGCACGATATACAAAATTCTACTAGGATCACTGTCGTTCATTTAATCCCACGATTCATTCAACCTCGGAAGAAAATGAAAGAAAAGAAACCGACGGATGTCAGTTCAGGGCGTCTATGCAGCGAACCTCTTATTCCTGGCTGGGCACGGCGCGGCCAAGATTTCCGTATGCTTGCTTCTCAAGTAACTGGGTCGGCAGGAGGAAAGCTACTTGTTCTGTTCAAAGATTCTGGGAATGGTGGTGGCGTGGACGTCTACCTCGATTCTTGCGGTTGCCCTTAGTTGCTTCTCACAATACCGAATTTCGATGGCCCAACATTATAGCAATAATGTGTGTCATACTTGATCACATGAAGCGATTCAATTGACAAGCCAGAGTAGGGTGTTGCCTGGAAAATGATCATTGCGTTTGATGTGATTGCAGAAATCCTTACCTTTGGACTGTGTATTTTACTAGTATGGGGATATCAAATGTGGTGGGAGCAAAGGTGGCCTGTGGTTTTTGCATTTGGGACGAGAACCCCGTGAGTGTCTGATATCGCAATGAAGAAGGTAAAGAACAAGAAGAAGATCTGCAATGGCTAATCATTTTTCTGTGATATCTGGGGGTATCATCTTAATTATACTCCGCCAAACCTATCTTAACCGCTCGCTTTCCATCCCGACGCGCCTCTGCATCTCTCGGATGCGATGGTCGTGACCACCGTTCTCCTTCACTGCAGCATTATGGTATCCACTGTGCCTGTCTGAAGCCGTTTTTTATTGTATTCAACACAGAATGGGGCCAGGGCATCACAAACCGCAACCGCCAAAACTCGGATTTCACACCCACTGGAAAGAGCGCATCGATCAACCAATCTCACGTCTACTCAATGAACTGTGGAGAATTGGACGAGGTTGATCTAACTCTAACCATTTCCCAACTATCACAGGATAGCCAACTTCTGATTATTCACCAGACACGGGAATAGAGGGTAGAGGAGGAGGAGTTTGGGATGCACTCCCTACAAGATAAAAATTGAGTTACTCATACTATTATACCGTATGTCATTTGCAAGGAATTATATTCCAATATTCTCTCTCAAGCCCTCGCGGTGAAATACAGTACGGATGTACGGAGACTATCTATGGGATCAGTCCATTTATGCAGAAGCTTCAGCCCAGATTCTTTGATTAACTTTAATCTTCAATAATCTTCAATCATTCCATGGTTATGATAGAAAATGTCCCCACTGCAACTCGTTAATCAATCAGCCCTCAGTCAACTGGCGTATCAACTGGCGAATCAATGCTGCCTCATCCTACTGAGGTCTCCTGACTGAAATGCTTCCAAACTAGGCATCAAGGCATCAACATATGGGTTTGACGTTGGCGCCTATACTACTGGGTACCCGTCTTGCTATCGCCTTCGTATCCTAGTGGAAACTTCTCTACAAGATCACGCATTTCCTGCTTCACACTTTATAACCACCCTAGTTAGTCCTATTGGTTTATGAAAAGGGATTCCAGAGACACTCACATATTCCTGAAGCGAAGGTTTCCCGGATATAGAGCTGAGGAGCATAAATTAAATCTCCTATAATTCCCGTTTAGTCGGTCGCTTTTATCTCAATTAAAAAACCCAAGCTCTTATTGACTCACACGCAGTATAATGCGTTTCGATCGTCGAAATCTGCTTCTGGCTTGGATGCAGAGAAATTTTTGAGATACTCTGTCACATATGGCATTCCAATCTTGTGTCTCACAGGCCTCCATGGAGCTAGTTCATCTGGAATGAAGGGAATATTGTTAGAATTGCCCCAATGTTGGTCTTCTTTCTACTGTGGGACTCACACTCGTGATGTGCGTACGATGAACATGCATCGAAAATCAGGGGGTTGCCAGTCTCAGCATCGACTGACGTATTGCCATCCCACAAGTCTCCATGAACCAAACATAGTTGGATTTTGTTTCCACCAGTCTCCAATGGTCGTAGCAGTCTTGGGATTACTTTTTCGATAATCCCTTTTCGGAGAACGGCCATCTCATCATCGGAGCCTTGAGCCTTTTCTTCGGCTATGAAGAATTGTTCGATGCCGTTCGAGAAACATTCTTCCCATGTGTCACATTCAGAGGTATTTTGGGGCAGTCTACCCTGGTAAGTCGTTACATGGAAACCGAATTTCCACTTTTGGGAGATTCCGCTCTTATGTAGTTGGGCCAAGAGGGCAGGGAAAATTTTGGGGTGAGGAAGGCGGTCCATCATGTTGTGAAAGCGACAGAGAAAAAAGTGCGTATCAGAATCGTTCTCTCGTAGGTCCCATGCCCTATCGGCTGCGGGGCAATATCAGGCATGGCGTTATGGATGGCTGTCATTGAATGACACTCGCCGTACAGCATTCCTTTGCCGATTTCGCCTTACGCAACCTATTGCATCGCAGAATAAATGAGACTGGATTCTATGGAACAGTCCGATGCTACTAGCCTTCAAAAAGAATGAGATATCATCTCCGGTGGAATCAGTGGTCTTAATTTCGGCAGTTCGGGTCCAGTACGAGGCACACCATATGAGATGCTGACCACGGTTGAACCCTCAGGAAGGCTTATAGTAGCACAAAATTTGGTTAGGGAAGCATAATATGATAAAAAAGAGAAATCTCTTACGCTTCGAAACATGATCATCCACAAAGGTTATCACACTTGCGGGTACTGCAATCTCCTGGTCCCAGATGGAAGAATCAACCGTTCTGTGCGCGTGTCTTCTTTCGTTTGCTTTTGCTAGCGATGATTTTCGTAGGATTGAGGCTTTTTTGTGACTTAATCCAACATTAATAATAACCGGGGCAATGTTCCAGCTTTATTGCCGCTTACGCGGAGTACAGCCTCCTATATGCACGCTCGTCACACTGGTCCCATCACCCTGCATCAGTTGGCCAATTGCGAAGTATAGAGTCCTGGTTAGAAGCGCTAACAGACGTGGCGATATTAGTCGACACCTATAGTACCTTTTCCCTGCATTCGAAGTTTTGAAAGTTCCATATTATTATGCTTACTTGAAGAGGAACTGGGTAACAGTCTAATAGCCCAGTTACTCAATAGAAGACAAGGTCTCGAAAGCGTGAATGATTACTTATTTTTGTGTGTGTGTGTGTGTGTGAGAGAGAGAGAGAGAGAGAGAAAGAGAGGGGGGGGAAGGGAGAGGGACTCGTAAGCTCAATACTGCATTGCATCAATGCTGCGAGGTCCAGCCCTGCAGGGGTCACCATGACATGGCAAATTCGTGGCGCCAAATAATATACTATTAGAATGAGGATTAGGATGCTAAGCTTGGCTTGAATGGGTGCCGTGCAGGACGTGATAGGAGATCGGTGCCAAATCATACAAAATTCGGAATTACTGATTTCGGAGAGCCGCCTTCCCCCCCAACCAAATTATGCCCACAAGAAAAAAACACAAAACATCCAGCCTCTATCCCAAACACGTGTGACCCCTGGGGTACCAGCTGAGCGAGATGGGCTCAGAATATGGAGACAGACGCAAATCCCTCGCGTCCATCGCCACCACCAGGTCTCTGATCACTCGGACCCTTACCCGCAGAGATAACACTACCACCACCGACTGGTCTGATCAAGAGGCTAGTACTAAAGGTCCAATAGGTCTCACCACCGTGTACAGCCCTCCTGATGACATAGTGGTCGACTTGATATTTGTCCATGGAATCAACGGGGGCTCTCAAAGCACTTGGACCAAGAATGGAGATCCAACATTGTTCTGGCCTCAAGAATGGCTCCCTAAGGACCAAGCTTTTCAGGATGTCCGAATTCATACGTTTGGATACGCATCCGCCATTGCGCAGGGATCGGTTCTCAATATCCCGGACTTTGCACGATCCCTGCTGTACTCTATCCATGATTCACCTGTCATCCTAAGAGAGAGTAAGGTAGGAATATTTTGGACCCTCTCTAGAGCCATAGATTCAATCAGTTAATCTCTCGGTATTATTCAGGTACCATTGATATTGGTTGGTCACAGCATGGGTGGGTTGGTCATCAAGAAGGCATTCATTTTTGCCCATGATAGTGAGGAAATGAGGCCGCTTGTTCGCAGAATCTGCGCCATCTTCTTCCTTGCAACACCCCACCAAGGCGCTGATCTTGCGCAGACCTTGAGTCGACTTTTACAGGTGGTTTCAGGGACCCGGGCATTTTTACAAGACCTCTTTCCAGGATCGCCAGCACTAGAATCGATCAATGAAAAATTCCCACAGCTTTGTGGTGGCCTTAAGCTCTTCTCATTTTACGAAAACAAACCGATGAACTATGTCTTTGGGCGAGGGCTAATTGTAGACAAAAAATCTGCGGTAATGAACTACGTCAACGAAAGAAAGATGTATCTCAACGCGAATCACCGGGATGTCGCCCGGTTTGCTTCTACAAATGACCCTTCCTACCTCGCTGTTCGAAACTCGCTGGCAGCATACATCGAGAGCAAACGGGGCTCCCAAATATCACGGGGCCAACAGGTGGAGGGCGATCGGTTGGAGAGATTGAATAAATTTCTTAGCCTCTCCGAGGCCCCAGAAGGAGACTTGATGAGCCAAGATGACACTCGGGTTCCAGGCTCGTGCGATTGGTTCCTACGCAAACCCTCCTTCGAGCGATGGCTGGAGTCTTCCTGCTCCCAACTACTTTGTCTGCGAGGACGACCAGGTACAGGAAAGACCGTGCTGACAAGTCACGTCATTAACCATCTGCGGGACTTGGGGCAAGATTGCTGCTTTTTCTTCTTCAAGGAGGAGGACAAATCAAAAGTCACCATAAATTCATTCTTAAGATCATTGGCTTGGCAGATGGCCCAGTTACATGGTGACGTTTTGTCGGCCATACTAGATCTCGCAGCGACATGGCAGGATGCGACAATCAGCAAGGCGGACCATAATCCTGTGTGGCAAAGACTTTATCTGCGCGGTCTGCTCAAGACTCGTCTGATGAAGCAGCAATATTGGGTGATTGATGCTCTGGATGAGTGCAAGGCAGGCTCCGAACTCATGTCTTTCCTTGCGAAGGCCCAGGAGCTCTGGCCGTTGTCCATCTTGGTGACCTCTCGGTATCCAATCACATCCATGGGTTTCACGAATCAGACGAGTGAAGTCGTGTCGGAGACCATCGGAGAGCGAGACACAAAAAAGGATATATCACTTCTTCTGCAAGCCCATATTAATTCACTGCCCTCAAGGAATGATGATGAAAGAAAAGCCATGGTAGACAACATTGCTGAGACGTCTAACGGTTGCTTTCTCTGGGTCGACCTAGTGCTGAAGGAACTCCAGCAAGCCAATACATCCGCTGATATTCGGAGAGTGCTGGCGAGCAGTTCTGACAGCATGGATAATCTTTACAGCAAGATTCTCAGCGATATGGCCGATGCCCGGTTTGGGAAGGACTTGGCGATAGCCATTCTTACTTGGATAGCATGCTCATTTCGGCCACTGTCAATAGATGAAATACATCGGGGCATTGAGCTTGACATCGGTGACAGCATCAATGACGTTGAGCGCTCCATCAACGCATGTTGTCGCAGCATCGCCTACGTTGACAGCCAGAAAATGGTCCGGTTAATTCACTCGACAGCGCAAGATTTTCTTCTACGTCAGAATAGCGTTCCGCAGTTTGAAATTGAAGAGTCAAATGCGCACAGGCGACTTACTCTAGCATGTCTTCAATACCTCTCTAGCAGTGAGATGAAAGCCCCTCGGTCAAGAAAGCTGAGCCTCTCCACAGAGGCCGAGAAGAAGTCCCCATTCGCGGATTATGCATGCAAGTTTGTCTTTAAACATTTGACACTAGTTAGGTCGACAGATGAGGATATCTTCGTTGCCCTAACAAAGTTTCTCATGTCACCCAATATCTTGGGTTGGATTGAATATCTTGCCAGACATGGAGATCTGCAATTGGTGTTTCACGCCGGGAAGGCCATCGACAATCTGTTGAGTCGGCGCTCCCAGCATACACCCCCAATGGGCCTGAAAAGGGATATTCGACTCATCCAGGAGTGGGGAAATGATATGGTTCATCTCGTAACCAGATTTGGTCACCAAATTTCCCTCTACCCGTTGTCAATCCACCATCTCGTCCCCCCGTTTTGTCCCCGCGATTCGACTGTGCGTCGACTGTTCGGTTCATCGCCTAGAGGATTATCTGTGCATGGCTCATCTTTGCATACGTGGGATGACTGTATGGCCACCATCTCGTATCCCAAATCGGGGCAGCTGATGAGCGTGGCAACATCGAACAAGTACATGGCCATGGGTATGGCGAATGGGCAAATCATCTTTTACGACTGTACCACCTGCCAGGAAAGCAATGTTATCCATCAACAAGGAGCAGTATTGAAACTGACTTTTGGGGAGAGCGGAAACTATCTCGCGTCGGCCGGTGTAAAATCGGTGTCTGTATGGAACTTGGGTTCCTGGTCCAAGATTTGCACGCTCCCGATCTCAGCAATGTGCATCGCCCTGACATTTACAGAAAACGACTGTTTTCTACTTGGTGCATTGAAAAACAATCAGCTGGTATACTGGGATATTCAAAATGGCGGGATCTCTCAGGACGAGCCGACCAATTGGACGCAGGATTTTGAAAATCGTGATATCCAGTTCAGGCAACCTACGGGTGCAGCGTTCTGTCCTCACCAAAAGCTCCTGGCCATCATTTATCGCGGGGAGTACCTCATCCTGTGGGACTTTGAGCTTGAACGAATCCACGATGTATATGAAAAGGAGTCCGGGTCTCTATATGAGTCTTTGAAAGAAAGCAACGGAAGCACAACAGTTTGGACTCTAGCCTTCAGCCCTGCAGTTGACGCAAATATCCTTGTTGCGGCTTACTCAGATGGAGACACTATGGTGTATGATACCTCGTCCGGTGGCATTAGAGGGGCTCTACGGGGGGTGAATGCTCACGCGCTCGCGTGCTCCCCAGACGGCCGCACATTAGCAACTGCCGACTCACAGGGCACAATTCGGCTGTACGATATGGAAACGCTCAAAATGATATATCGGCTAAACTTTAATGGGGACGCATTTGGATCCGAAGCCCTCTCCTTCACTTTGGACAATACTCGTCTCCTCGACGCCCGGGCCCACCAATGCCGGATCTGGGACCCTGCAGTGTTGCAGAGACAGGATATTGACGACATAGACAGTGACACGGTATTTGTCTCAACTAATGCTCAAGAGATAGACTACCAGATTTTGGAATCCATAAGCATCACGTCGATTATCTGTGTCCGGTCTGCCTCGATTGTCTTCTGTGGAAAGGAGGATGGATCAGTGCATGTCTACGACATCGCCTCTGAGCTCCAGGGCCAGCAGCTTTTTGTACAAACTCCTGGGATCCCAATCAACTTCCTCCACTTTGACGAGGGCATCCTCACTTGCGCAGACTCCGCCAGTCACGTAGTGAGCAGGAGGCTTATGCGACGGCCACGATCAAGATGGGATGTCCAGGAGCCCTTTCTAGATCTATACATTGGAACATGTATACAGCAACTGCTTGCATCTAGTAAGCATTCCAGGCTTCTTGTAACTTCCGAGTCCGAGGATACTCTCTGGGATCTGGTTGGCTCTAAGGATAAGGCCCCCCTGATTCGCAATGAGGTCAAAGGCAAAAGATACTGGATTCAAAGTGCCGCTCGTCCCGATAATTTACTCCTTGTGACGCCCACAGGGACAATGGCGTGCAACTGGACCTCTCTGGAATGCCTCAACACTGTTTCTCTGGATCATCTACTCCAACCCTCGACAGTGATTTATCATGTGACTCCTCTCCACCACCCCCGTTTCTTTGCGACAATAACAAAAGACACCTCGCCCACCCTGTCCTCTGAGCGACTGATACATGTGTGGGATTTTAGAGACTTCAGTTCGGATAGGGCGATTCAATCCCCCGTGCACAGCTTTAGCGCCGTGTCTTCAAGAGTCGAGACAATTATTGGGGCACTTGATGAACGACTAATCTACCTCGACACTAACCGCTGGGTTTGCTCCCTCAATCTGGAAAAGAGAGAGGAGCCAGTGGTACGACACTTTTTTATTCCTAATGACTGGATGGGTTCCACCGGTCAGTTGCTACTGGATCTTGGACGTACAGGCGAAATCATCCTTGTCAAAGTGAATGAGCTTGTCATTATCAAGCGAGGTCTTGAATTCACACATCAAGGCACTTTTGATGGGCCCAGGAAGGGTAGCTTGACTCTCAGGCATGGTGAGCTTTTTGGACCCCCATCTTCAGGTTCAGTATAGGGTGTCTCAGTCCTCACGATCAAGTATTGGCATATCAGTGATCTCCTTTGCTCTGTTCAATTCGGGGAGTAGATCATAGAGATCATTTGGACAAACCCTCTCACAGAGGGCTATCATGTCTTTGAAGACCCTATTTAAACATTGAAAATTAGCCAAGACCGTAACAAAAGTCCTACTACTAAGAAGATTATTTACTGTGGTTTTTGCGTGGAGTGAGGCACGAACAATGCATTGCATATGTTCCATGTCAACGAGTATAGCAGATTTCTACTATTCCAATCCTCGACTCGAGAAATTAAAACAAATAATGTGTCAGGTTTGCTTTTCCTTTCTTCCTGTGGTGTTTGTTATGGTAAGAACTCACCTGGTTCAGATACAGGAACCAATGCTTTGTAGGCATCCGTATAGCCCGGATCACTAACTGCGTGTCTGGAAGTTCTCCAATTCCCCAGATCGTATTCGTTGTGTGCATAAAAGGACGCAACATCAAAAAAGAAAGCACGACCGTCTTCCCCAGTTGCAGTATTTCCATCCCAACAGTCGCCATGGACAAGACACGGTTTAATCGAGCGCCCGTCCGTCTGCAATGGTAAAAGAAGAGCAGGGACGACCTTGGAAACAACTAACTTTCCAAGCTGATCAAATTGGGGCCACGTAAAACCGGTCTTAGCATGGGAGACGATGCGTGAAAGATGATTGGAGAAGAGTTCGTACCATGAATCCGTCCAAATATCGACAGCCTGGATATTGCGAGTATGGCAGGTGGGCACATGGAATCCAAATTTGCCAGTTGGCGATTCTGATTTCAAATGCAGCTCTGCCAGAACAGCGGGGAGAGTTTCTACATCCGCAGGCTAGAAATTAGAATCATTATTTATTTTGAAATAAAGAGGGGGGTGGGGGGAATATAAGAATATTTGAGAGAGATTGGATACTTACCTGCTTCTGGATGGCCAAGAACTCAACGAGGAGAAAGGAATAGTCGATATTGTCTTCGGTGTATCTGCCCCATCCAAGTGGTTCTCGGGTATGTGCGCACACCGAGTAGATTGATTTGAGGGACTCATACTCGCCTCGGCAGGTGATCATTCCGAGTTCTCCTTCTAGGATCTACTTAGTTGGTTAGTATACTGTTCTTAGAGGATAGGTTGGCGCTCGGGTCATTAGATAGTATCTTCCTTTTTTTACCTTCAAAAAATAACTTTCAAACAACCCGGACGGAAGTTGGACTCTTAACTGTGCGGTACGTCCATAATGCGATTCACCATATTGGGTGACATCGAGTAATCTGCTGCCAGCGATTGGAAGATCTAAAAGAATTAATTACTGGGGCGCTTTCTAAAAATCCTCTGGTAGAATTAATATAAACGACGTACGTTGTAGAATGCTCGGAGCGAGTTGGCATTCCGTGTGGTGATTCTGATCCACTGTCATTTTTAGACGTCTAGGGTTTATTTCAAATCGTGTTATCATAAGGTAGAAAATGGAAATAGAGTAAACATAAAGGAGGTAATGGAGGTGGACTCGGTGAATTGTGAAACTAATCCTCTCCTTCCAAGTAGAAGAGGGGTTATGATGAGATAATCAGACGTTGGTTTCCTTCTTTGGAAGGCTCCATTCACCACCTAGCCGTTGTTCCAGGGAAACCTCAGAACTAGACAGTAATTTGGACCCATATAGATACCATCAGTATGTTCAGAACATAAGTATCTAGGATATCGTAAAGATACAGTATGTAGCACTACGGTACTCCCAGATATGTCCCCACTTGTTCCCCACATGGATGTGCCACAGTTTCCAAGTTTGGAAGGTTCCCTCTTTTTAAACTCAATCGAACCTTGGAACCAGACATAGATTAAGTTATCTCCCCCAATCTTTTCAAACATTATTTCCTCATGTCTACCAAAGATAAATCCCATGCATTTCCTATCTCTCAACCATACACCATCTTCACACGTCAAAGACGCTTCTTCACATATCTGCTCGGATATCTCACTCTCGCTTCCTCTCTCACAGCTACCATCTACTTCCCACTCAATTGATCTTTTGAGCAGTCAGTACAACATATCCACCCAACTCGTCAACCTTACTATCACATTCTGTGTGATATTCCAGGCCATCTCGTCCGCCTTCTGGGCCCCACTCTCGGATAGCCTCGGCCGCCGTCCAGTCTTCCTAATGAGCTTCTCGATCTATGTCTATGCCAGTTTCGGACTCGCTCTATATAAATCCAGCTATTCTGCCCTGATCTTGTTGCGCGGTCTATAGAGCATTGGAGGATCAGCCGTCATGTCTCGCCTACGCCGTCGTAGTGGACATCTCGCCTCACTCTGAACGTGGCAAGATTCTAGGTCTCATGCTTACATCGACAAATCTTGGTCCCTGTATCGGGCCTGTCATCGGCGGTGGCGCCATTTTGGCCTCGGGCAATGTCATGTGGTGTTTTTGGGCTTTGGTTATCTTTGGAATTATATCTCTACTATTCATCGGATGGACATTACCTGAAACCGCAAGGACAGTCGTTGGCAATGGCGCCGTCTATCCGCAGGGTATATGGAGGACGTGGTGGACTATACTGAGTGGGAAAGTTGCCAAGTCGAATAACAATCGCACAACGAATAATGCCTGCATAGTACCAGAAGAAGCACTAGCGGATGTCAACGCCGGGAAACCAGGGAAGGGCAAATGGATCATACCGAACCCATTTATATCCCTCAATATTATACTCTACTGGGACACCATTTTGATCCTGTGGATGGCGGCATCGCCCTACACCGTATGGTATTGTATCCAAACTTCCCTCCCTCTCATCTTCGGAGATACCTTCGGATACAACGACCTATTTGTTGGTCTCTGCTTTCTCCCCGGAGGATTGGGAGTCATCCTTGGGGGGCTTATTGCGGGGCGTCTCATGGATTTGAATTACAAGTACACCTCCCGAGCGATAGGTTTCGAGGTTGACAATCACGTGGTGGACAGAAACCAATTTCCCTTTGAAGAGGCTCGATCTCGTGGCACCTACACGATCCTATCGGTTTCCATCCCTCTCTTGGTTGGTTACGGCTGGGCCGTTCATTTTCATATCCATCCCAGTATTCTGTTGGTTTTGCAGGCTATAATTGGCGCAAAATGTACGGTGGTCTTACAAAGTTTCAGTGCTTTGCTGGTTGATATCTTCCCAAAACGTCCTGGTGCGGCCGCCGCGGCGAATAATATCACTCGGTGTGCTCTCTCTGCGGCTGCGGTTGCGGCTCTCCAGCCGTTGTCGAATGCAATTGGACGCTCCTGGCTCTTCACGCTCATTGCCCTCGTCGATGGTGGGGCAGGGTTGCTTGCAGTTTGGGCTCTACGGCGGTGGGGATCTGCATGGAGGCGAAAGAGGGATTCAGGGTCTCGTGATTGATTATTGTTCTTATAACCTAGCGGAATTCCAGGCTTATAACTAAATTATAAAGCCTAGTGCTCCAAATTTCAGAAGGTGTAGTGGAGGTTATACGAGAGATATTTTGCCCATAGGATTTCGTTATACTGAGGATGAGGCTCCCAACACGGCAGCTTGAATTTGATAACTAGCACCATAAATGCGCGGTTATACTATGGTTTATATAGGATTACTATGAAAAGGCTATACTAGTATAGCTTTCAACCGTTTAACACCAGTTCTTATACTACTAATATACACCCCCAAGGGCTACATAGGACCAAGCCCTGTGTAAATTTAACTCAATCTTTGCGTTACTATAAACAGAGACATGTAACCAAAGCTCAATTTGGCCTCTTTATAAGAATAGACGGATAGTGTCAATACATACAAAGTCTCATCTAAAAGTCATACACTTATAGGCGGCTCTTGGAAAGCCAAATATAGCTTCCGCAAGTCAGAATCCCGCTGCAGCAACGCTTCAGCCCCATCGCACTCCACAAGTTCCCCATGCTTGAGCAACATCACCCGGTCGAACCAATGAATATAACGATGCCGATGCACCACTGCAATGATAGTTTGCTGAGAAAATTCCTTCTCAATAATATCCTGCATAATCGCCTCTGTCTCTGAATCGACGCTAACACCAGAAAATCATTAGCTTCCATCTCAATGAAGCCCCAGAAAATTCATAAATAGATAGAACAATGTTTGAAAAAGGCATTACCTGCTCGTAACCTCGTCCAAGATCAATAAAGCACTCTTCTTCACCAGGGCCCGAGACAAGGCAAGTAGTTGCTTCTGCCCAACTGACCAGTCCGCAGCAGAAAACTCCATATCCAAACCTCCTTTGGCACGAACTCGGTCCAAAAGGCCCACCTTCCCAATTGCAAGGATGAGCTCTGCATCGGTCACGCACTGGCGAGGATCAAGATTGAAGCGGAGGTTTCCTGGCATAAAAAATGGGTCTTGGGGGACAACGTTGATGCGCGAGCGGATTTTGCTTCTCGGGATCTCAGTGAGGTCCTCCCCGTCTATGTTGACTCGTCCGGACTGAAGGTCAAGCATCTGAAGAATTACCATGATAAGTGATGTCTTTCCACTCCCGGATGATCCGCAAACGGCAATTTTCTCTCCAGGCTTGATGGTCATGCTCAAGTTTTTGAGGACCAGTGTGTTTGAGTGGCTGCGTCTGATTTAGCTTTGAGTATACAATAGGATGATGCCGCTAAAGGGACATGATACGTACTCATATCCAGCAGTCACGTCCGTAAACTTCACCGCACCGCCGCAAGGCCAGCCATGTGGTAATTGAGGAGCAACTGGAGATCTCACAAGACGTCCTTCCGAGGGAGTATCTTCTATAAAGCTTTTCACACGCGAGACGGCCCCGATAGAGGTTTCAGTCATAGTCCACATCTTGAGAGCATTTGCCAAGGTTTGATTTAGTGTCAGTATAATGTTAAGGGCAACCCCAATGGATGCTGCACTGAATTGCTCTCTTAGGGATGTGATCATGGCAATCAAAATGACTGCGATCGCGCCTACAACCAAGTCCAACCCCAGAATCAGCCATTGCTGGATACTGTAGAGCATGTAGACCGGTCGCTGCGATCGGTTTAATAGGAAATGGCTTTTCTCTCGTAGCTGGAGCCCCCAGTCAAAGGCTTTAATGCTTGATATGCCGTGGATCGTCTCCAGAAAGTGTGTGTAGAGGGGTGCCTTGGCCTCGATATCTAACAATCGGACCTGTCGGGATGTGCGTAGGTAATATGACTGAATGAAGAATAGAACCACTCCTAAGAATGGAATTGTCACTGCCAGGTATCTACCCATAGCACAGATGATAATTATGTTGATAAAAACCTCAATGAGACCTGCCGAGTGAGTTAGCCCTAGCATCTGTATATTGGGTAAGGGTTCATACTAGTCACGCAATTGACAGCATATATCGGCAGCATCATATCAATAAGTTCCAAATCTTGACTAAATCTATTTCGCATGTGTTAAATAAAAACAGTGAAGAGGGTAAACAGGAGATCTTGAAGGTAATAATACCTGTTAGTTGTTGAACCGGTGTCTACACTTTGATAAAAGCTAATCGATGCGCTGTGGTGAAAGTATTAGTATGAAAAAACATATATATTAAAGTATGAGCGTCCACCTAAGCGCTGTTTTGAGAAGATCGGAATGCAAATTCAGCGAAGTGTTGTTAAGAGCTCGGACGAAGAGCAACCTAGGATCTTCAGTCAGCTCTGAAAATAAATCCCTTCTAATACACATACCAGCAGCTAATTATGAGACTCAGAAACGTCAATCCAAATATCAAGCCGTAAACACCGAGATACATCCCCAGCTGCTTGTTAGGTTGCTCTTCATTTGCCTCGACCCACCATTGAATCCATAGCGCTAAAAAAAAGGTTAGCTTTCCTTCTGGAAAATAGTAATCATCCAAAACTGACTTTGGAAGCTGGAACAAAAAGCCTCAATAATAGTGAAGGCTAAAAACGAGACCAAAAGGCCATATCCTGCACTCCGAAAGTAATATCTGTACACGGACCAATTCTGTCGATGTTTAACGCGGATGGTTTTTCCATCGTCGGCTGTTTGCACAGAGATGCTGGGGGGATCTTTGTTTTCGACAACAGTGAGGTGAGAGTTTGACTTGTCCACCATTGCAAGAGGAGAACCCGCAGTTGGGTTCTGAATCTCTGGGTCAATATTTCCCTTAGAAAGCATCTCATTGTATGACCCCAGTGCTGTTATCTTTCCCTCATCCATCATCACAATTTCATCCGCATGGGGAAGCAACTGATCTATAAGTTTTCTTAGCGCTAGTCCTTGATCGCATTGCAATAAGCATTATCCGCCCTCAAGGCATCTCAAGACTCACAGGTACTCATGGCGAGGATAACTGATATCCCCAGTTTTTTAAAGAGACCATCCTTTCCGAAAAGCCGGTTCGAGATAAGTGCAACACTTGTCGAGTCGAGGCCACTGAACACGTTATCAAGAATGACGACGTCAAGTCTAGAGTAGACTGCTCGGGCGAGCCCCTACAAACAGAGAGAATTTATCAGTACGTGCGTGCAAATATAGTTGCACGTTATGCATCATGACTCACAATCCGCTGCTTTTGTCCTCCACTAAGTGAGATGCCGTTGCTTCCAGGCAGATGCATGTCACCTTTTGCAAGAGCGTCGAGGTCCTCTTGCAAGCCACACGCTGCACATGTGAAATCATACCACTTTTGATCAAATTCCAGGAATCCGATTATATTGTTCCGGATGGTGTCGTTCCAAATCCACGGTATCTGTGGACAATAGGCCGCTCTTGAGAATGAGGCTGTTCTGGAGCCATTTTGAACCATGTGCTGGTGGAGGATGCTCTCAATCAGAGTTGACTTCCCGCACCCAACACGACCGACAATCATCGTAATGCCTTGGTGTATATTAACATTCAGATTGCGTAGTACGGGCTCTTTCTCCGAGGAGTGTGCTATGTCCGCATTCTGGAATGAGATCAAGAATTTTTCAGATGTCGGTAATGGCTGGATCTCCTCTTCATATTTTGCGGATGAATGGATGCCTTCTGCACAATACGCTTGAATCCGGTCAAAGCAAGCGAAAGCCTGCCAGAGTGCGGGCATGGCTTGGCAGAATATGAGCAGGGGATTTGTAAGAAGAGAAATCAAAGCGAGGGATGTGAATGCCTGAGCAGAGAGGATTGACCCATCGTGTCGCACAACAGATATTATCGCGTAAATTGTGAACGTAGCAAAGGGGGCAAAAACAACGGGCAAGTTCGCTGGATCCAACGTCAGTTCATATCCTAGTGGTCATCTCATCCCTCCCGGGTACCTACAGAGCGCAACCTGCCATATCAGCAACTTTCGGAAAGTAACAGAAGTGCTTACTTCGTATTCACGTAGATGTGACACCAGCGGTAAAATAATATCGCTCAGCCCCAGCATATGTACGGCCTTCATGTTGCCTAACGTGTTTGCTGTCGCTGCGAGTCGCTTTTGTACTCGCTCGATCCATTCTTTTTGCGCCTGTCCAGATCGGTTTGACACTGGGATCATTGCTAACACGGAACCTAGAGGTAAACCTTCTCAGTAGTTGCTCTTGGGATATATGTTAGAAATAGGTGAGGAAACTCTCTCACCCAGTGAGATAACAAGGGGTATGGAGCAGGCGACCCCGATCTCGCGCTCCAATAACCAAATTGCAATCCCCATTTCGATGATAGAGGCCCATGCCTCATGCAGGTTCTTCAAGTTGGCCACTATTCGTTCGACATCAGTGCTCATTAATGTGATAGCTGCGGAATCAGTCAAATCAGCCGCAGTCATGTCGATAGTCCGGTCATAGATCATAGATATAAGACCAGATCGCATCATGGTCAGTAGACGGTATGTCTGACGCCAGTATACGGCTTTGGAAACCTGTCGGTGACGTTAAAGAGACATTCTGTTTACAATACTGAATGATTACCCACCGCCAACCCCAGGTATACCAGAAAATATGCCCCGATGAGTCCATTTCCGTAAGTTTTAGGCTCTGACACTGACGATTCTCCAATATAATTTATAGTTGCTGTAATCAGAAAAGGTTGCGCGAATGTAAAGCAACTGTAGGTCAGACGTGGGGGGATCGCGAAGACAAAAGCCCATTTGTATGCACGAAACACGGCTTTAACTAAGCGATAATGACCGTTTATGCTTGTAACATCCCAGGACTTTCGAAGCTTACCGCCAGAGCATTGTCCTTGAAGATTTGTGTCAACTTCCGCGACATCCTCGACGTCTAGAGCTTCCCGATACCCTGTCTGAAGGAATGGCAATATCCAGATAAAGAAGCATCGGCTCCAAAACCCGATCTTTCCTTCGCTGGTACCACCACGATAGTGAGATTTTAAAATCTTGGTTTTTGGAATCGACTCAACAGCTATAATCGCCACCATCAAAAGCAAGCTGGCTAGCGAGAGATATCGACAAACTTCAACGGATGAAATTAACCATAGTGAGCGCAGCTGAGGCAGTTTGCAAATGCTAGACGCCGAGAGATAGAGGACGAGTAGATCCGAGGGTCTCACAGATCGCTGGTCCTCTACGAAGGAGACGTATGATGCCGCAAAGGTTGCTATGATGCTGAGTATGGCTGCAGGCAAGGAAGCTCGCGTATGAAGTGCCGATTCCCGAACTTGAAACGCCATAAACAGAACTTGGAGAACAAATAACATGGCAAGAAGGCACTGCTTAAGATCAGCCACGGTCGAGAAAGTTGTGAGCCGGGATATTTACTATCTTACAGACTGCTAATCTGTATGATTTGATTTTGACCGATTCGCGCCGGAGAAAACAAAGCCTTATAGGTAAAACTAATAAGAAAACTGCAGCTGGCAGAGTTGTGAAAAATATTTCCTCAAATAAAAGGGTAAAGTCAAAGGCACGACAATCGATGCTGACGCGAGGGCCAAAGCGATTGTCGGCTTCTAATGACCAGCACAAGTTGGTTGTCATTGGTACTTTGCGAGGTATGTTGAGTCTTCAACTAAATTTCGTTGCATTCGAGGATGGTTGTTTATTTTCATGGCATACAGTGGTGAGTTATTTATATCAAGATATATAACTTTCTCTAGGGCTTGACTCAGAGCAACCACAATCATTGCCCATTTAGGAAATATCGATTGTTGAACTCCGAAGTTGCACAGTGTCTTCATTCCAATCAAATACTTGTATCAATATATTGATTTTGTCTCAGGTCTTCTAGGTCTGGGCCTCACCAGCGGGTCGCTTGTGCGGTTATGTGAGTCAGTTTATTTTCTCTGAGATTCCATATGCCTATGTGAGATTAATAAGTTCAAAGTTTGATTGTGTTAAGAGAACTTAGTAATATTGGTATTCACGGCCCTCTGTCATATACAGCTACGTACACAATTCTCAAGCAGTTCGAGAAAGCACACGCTATATATAGGATTATTCTCCCACGACTTTAGCCTGGGTAGCAATCTAATTAAGTAAAAGATGAACCTTGAAAGCGATCGAAGATGATGTATATTATTGTTGTTGTGGGGGAAAGGGGGGAAGCATAATTACGATATGTGTTTCAAGATCTATTCAAACAATATCTAGCCTCTGCATTTCCTCACCAAGGTTTGGATTGACTTAAGGATGTTTTATGTAACTAAGTCAAGTGAAGTTTAACAACGGGTCCTGCTTCCAGTGGATATTGTCAAACCACGCCATAAAATCGAAATTACCGTCCAAATCACAACCATCGAGCCAATTTGTAGACAGATCAATATCTGGAGTCAACGGGGTCGGCTGGGGACATTGAGGGGAAAGAATTTGATCGAGCACGCGACGAATAAATCGTGTCCCTTGTTGGGAAATCTCATAGTTGCCATCGTGAGGCCGCACCAGAGAATTCAGATGAGAGACAAAGATATTGAGCTTTTGGATGATAATTGAGCGAACGTTGGCAGATAACGGCGTTGGTGATGGGTTCGATATCTGAGAGCTGTGGTCCGAGAGCAACTTTGAAGTCAGGATGCCTGCAGCAGGAAGGCCCATGTAGCATAACTAGAAGAGGATTAGCTTATAAGAGAGGTCTCTTCAATAGTAAGGGCCAGAATAGTCTTACATCCCATAACATATTTGCCACTGAGTGACCAGACCGAGTCCGCATGACAATAATGTCTAATAACGTGGTTATTATTTCAAGGGAGCTTTGTATAAGACCTTGTGAGTTTATCCCAAGGCGCTTTAGCAAGATCCGACGCAGCAGAAACTCTTGGTACGTAAATTCTATATGGGCGAAGGCGCGGCCCTCGTCTCGTGGAAAGCTGTAAGCACCCGCTGCAGCTTTCTCGGGGGACCAGTGCATAAACGAGGGGAGGTCTTGTTGCGTCTGACGGGATTCCTGAATCAACTCTCTGTGCGGTTTCTTTGAGTCAGTTTTATATATCAACATAACATGAAGTCTATAATGGGATACGAACTCAACTCTGGTTGGAATATGCTGAGTGCTAGGGCTCAAAGACAATTCGAGGATACTTTCTCGCAACAAGCTCGTCAGTAGCACGACGCGAAGCCTGACGCCAACGGTCAGGCTTCCTTCGTTGTTCCAACCATTTGCGTCGAGATTCTGCAGTAACTTCTCGCCTTCGCTTCGTGGGAGGACCATATTCTCATAACTTATATCCAACGGAAGCGGGATACTACAGTATCGAGAGCAGATTCGTGGGGGGCGCCCCAAAGAGGTCGCTAGCTCCTTATCAATTGCGTATGCGCACACCATAACTCGCTTTCGTACCTCCACCAAAAAGAACGGAAGGTTTTCTTCAATGTCTTCACCGGACTGATGCAAGTCAAAAGCGTAAACAATGGTAGATAGATCTCCGAGCTTTTGCCAGACCCTATAATCTATCTGAATATCAGCCGTTTTCTATATTTCCCAGTGGATAATGTTAGATAGTGGTTACCGCTTTCGCCAAACATCAAACTCAAGAGAACTATTTGCTGGGTCGTGAGCCAGCAAAATGGATCGCTAGTTATTCCAGCACTATTGCAAAATTGGCAGCAAATATCACTAATGGCGGTAGCGACATTTCTGAGCTGGCTCTTTTCCAGCTTCCACGGGTTGCGATGTGTGAAGACCGGGTCATCATCGGGTGTATGGAATAATGAGGCCCCCAGCAGGGCAAAGACAAGTCCAATTGTCTCCCATCTCGGTGTTACCAAATCGAAATACTCGTAGAAATTCATTGTTGGATATGTCTGGATATCTTTGGATGTGTTGACAAATATTTGATGGGACAGGGTGGCTAGTGATGCATGGGTGTTCTGGGAGTTGCAAACTGCGCAATCATACATTTTCTCCATAGAATCACACAAGGCGCGAATCAAGGGAAAACCTAGAACCCATCCTGGGGAAATCTTGTTCTTTAACTCGATGATCTCGTAGAACCAGCGGATCTTCTGCAGATGTGATAGAATCTGAGCCCCTAGCAACACCTGGTTGGAGTCACTCGGTGGATACACAGTTGCTGGTACTGTCGTTGCTGGTACTGTCGTTACTGGTAGACTACCTGGTTCCTCGACACACAGAGTACTTTCATACTCACTGAAAATGTCTTTTGGGGAGACTAGCCCTAAAAGTCCCGGTGGCAGAGTCCGCTTCTCCTTCGCAGTCCATCGTGCGATATGCTGGTCGCATAACGTACTTCCCTCATCTGTAACCAGTGGTAAACCTGGCTGTGGACCTGGTATGGCTGTTCTGGGGGTCCCCTGATCCAAACGAAAAACCAACTGATTGTCTCGGCGTTGTTGCCTCTTGGGTCTCCGCGATATCGCCCTGGAGTCACGCGCCCGGGGCTGAGAGAGTGGAGCAGGATGGTAGAAGCAGCGTTCGGCCTGGTCGTGACCGAGACATCGACCACAGATGGGAGCTTTGTGGTCGCATCGTAGTTTGGACTTACGGCAAGGCTCGCACGATGACAGTTGTCCATTGCGACGAGGTGTTGCCATTCTCATCGAATTTGTGAAGAACGGGAGGCTGACTTTTCTCTGGGTGGTACTGGTAAGAAACAATCAAGGATTTGAGGGTTCAAGATTGGAAGAGGTAAAAAAATGCATGTTATCAGTATATATAGGGCCTGGGTATCGGACCTAAATTTCCTATTTGGGGAATTCCAGCTGGAACTCCGAATAAACTAAACAACACTAGTGTGGCCTTAGATAAGCCTTTAGCACTGCCCGCAGGTGCAAGATTGTACGTGGCCCTAAGGATTTAATTAGGCTATCAAAGTAACCCAATTTTAGTCCCTGTTTTCAAAATGATTATATTGTCAACCCGTAAATGAATGAATATAGTTGGTAATCCGAATATCCCCCGACCCATGCTAACCTCGAATTTTCCCCGCCACTTCATTGAAGGGCGAACCGGGTAGTTCACTATACCAAAATCAGCAAGTTCTAGTATAGAAGAGACATAGTGACTTACTCTGAGGCTACGCCTCCAGGGGTGTTCCGAGACATGGATATCTTCCTCTGACGCAACGGAACTAGGCGTACTGGCCGGGGCAGCATACTTTTTCACTGTCGCTTGCCATAGATCATAACCAAAATCGGGGACTGAGTTCAGGAGCTTTTTATCAATTACCGGTGTCGTTTCTTTCCAAAGATTGGGTAAGCTGTCCATTATCATATCAATCGCCGGTGTCTTCAGCCTCCAATAGTTTCCTTGTGTCGAATAAATTTTTTCAATTATCTTTGCAAAGGACTCTCCCTCGGGGCAATTCATGAAAGAGGCGCAGAAGTTTGCTTTCGCTTTAGTTCTCAAGTCGCTGATCTTGAAGTAGCCCCCTTCGCCATACATGCGCATATGGAAGTAGCTTGAGTGGCAGTCGGTCAATATATTGACGGCGAGCTCTCCGGCATCTCCTTGCTCGATTGGGTCTTGTCCGGGGGCTTCGTCCATGGGAGATGGGCTCTCTTCTATCGGTGATCCATCCACCAGTTCGTCTTCAACGTTTTCTTTTGTCGCTGGAGTTTTATCAATGGCCTCTGTTTCTGTCGCAGGCGCATCAGTCTCATTGGAGGCATCTTCTATTGCTTTCACGGGTTCATCCACGAGACGCTCCTCTGGTATAAAATCTATCGTGTCGCCTAGAGGCTCTAGATCCAATTCTGGCATCTCTTGGTCATCGGTCTGTCTATCTACCGATTTGGTTTCACGGCGCTCAAAGGTATAGTCTCCAGTGTACAGAAACTCCAATACCTTCTCAACTAGGATCGGAGATTTCTCCTTTAGGGGAATTTCATCGTTGGTTTTCTAACCGTCACCGTCGCTGGTTAGTCTAGATTCAAGGAACTCCAGTGACTTTTTCTTTACCTTGCTTTGAAAATACCTCGATTTGGAGCAAACAACGAGTTTATGGGCTGAGAAGAACTGGCCATCGCAAACGATGGCCAAGTCGCTATACTTCGGGTTGAGATACAAGCTTAGTTGAAGTCAGTGGCAGGCCTCGTAGTTCTTGAATTGTGCCATTATCACCTGGAGATGAGATTAACAAGAGACTCCTGATACTTCTTCTTCTGGGCCTCAGGTACGGGAATACCAGGCTCTAGACCATTGATGATTGGTCGTGAGTCCTTGCCCAATTCGTTCGACATAGCTAGTAGCAAAAATAAGAAAGATAAATTCTATCAGATATGTGATAAAGCAGATGGCCAGGGTAGAATGAGTGGGCGTTCATCAGGACTGTTTGGCTACATCCGTACGGAGTACACAACATACATATATAACACAACCTCAAAGAATTCCACCGAGATGCATTGGTGCCTGATCCAGCCTTTGGGTCGGATATTCTCATATTTATTTGTGATCCATATACACCGTACTCGCACTTTTCTCTGTAGTGATTGGGTGTTTGGTGGGAATTCGACTTGGTTCCCGGGCTCCCCGCATATATCAATTGTCACTAACCCTAATTTGGACTTTCCGAACGACGCAAACTGCATGAAAAGGATCTGGACTCGAGGTATTTCAATTCGGGTCAATCCATTGATATGAGCTGCATTCTCAAGGCAAACGCGCTTATTTGAGTACAACTGCCAGTTTGTCTATGGTGCCTATGAATATGGCCATTTTTCGATGTTTAAAGATTAGAGGGTTCGAGACTTGTGTTCCTACTTTGACACTCCATGTCCTACTGGGTTAAGTTTTTATTCATGTAACCATATTTTCCTCAACCTTTCATCAAATGGTAAGATGGCCGAGTTGGTCTAAGGCGCCAGGTTAAGGTATACCTTGACTCCACAACTAGCAATAGTTTCCTGGTCTCGAAAGAGGCGTGGGTTCAAATCCCACTCTTATCATATTATTTTATTTTTGCTCCTTCCATCTCAATGTAAGGCTTTTTCTTATTAGCTTAGTGGGCTATTTTTTTGATGTTTTGGTGAGAATAGCTGGTTGAAATTTCGAAGGTTGCGCATTTTGCAGATATTGAGTATATTAAACTTGCATTTGGTGTGTGCTGGGCGCTTGGCACGATTATTGTTAATATTGTCTATGCTACTCTATAGACTCTCGCTGGCTCACATTTGTTCTCCTTCTAGGTTTATTTTACCCACTGTATATCATATCTCGTTTGGATTTTATACAGAAACTCTGCTGGATTGGGCATATATCTATCTGCACTCGGCTAGGCCGTTGCTGTGACTGCCCAATAAACTAAAACAAAACAAAAAAGAAAGCCAGGTGAATCTAGTTAGTTCCCAGCTATGATTTGGTTTTGCAAAAAGCAAAAAGACATGATAAGAGTGGGATTTGAACCCACGCCTCTTTCGAGACACGGAGACAGTTGTATACCATCGGGATCAGGTTGACCTGAACCGTGCGCCTTAGACCAACTCGGCCATCTTACCAATTGGATGAAAGATGCCTTGGAAATTGAATTTATTAATGGAAGCACTATATTAGGGCTTTCGTTTAGGCATTTAGTAAACCAGATCATGTTGCTATTCGTCCTACTTGTTTATGTCTTCGTAACATGAGTCGATACTGTAGTTCAATATTGTTTAATTATCCAAATATTATCATTATCTCCTACGGGTGAGAGTTGGTGGGTTTTATTCAATATATATTTCGTCGTGGGATTGTCGACTCACTAACATATATATCCGAACAAAGAAGTATGGCATGATTTGATCAATATTGCACGGCCATTTTTGCACTACCTTGGGTTAGTGAATGGCAACTGGCCTCACCAACAACACATACATAGATAGCCTACCTCGTGATCCCATCCAATTAATCATTATTTTCCACCCAAGGTAGACATGCGTCACAAATATCCCCATAGCTAGGGTACCTAATCATCTCTTGAAACACCCTCTCATCAACTACCCTAGCAGAATAAAGGGACACGGCAAGAATATGCCAGTGTAGCTTGGCCAGGCACCACGCACAAACGGTCCGTCCACATTAGCTCGCCAACAGCGCCCGGAGACTATTTGTTCCCATTAAGTAGTTTATAAACACCGGGCTTAGGGGAGGCCTCGCACGTGCAACGACAAGATAAGGAACTCGCGACCAAGTTCTGATGTTAGTGGTACGGGTGGGGTGAGGTAGGTCGACTTCAGTAATCGCACGATTGGGAGTAAGCCCATAGTATATGTGTTAGTTCACATGTTAGATTACGGGGATAGTGTAGTTGGATCCCGATGCGGATTCTCCCGGGACTAGGCTGTTGGGTGATTTAGGGTTAGCTGGGGAGTTTTCTCATGTGTGATATAAGGAGCCGAGGCTGCACGCTAGGACCCCGAAAGGAAGAAAAGGGAAACGAGGGGGAATTTATGTAAATAATACAAAACGAAATGGGATACACAGTTTTATTTTTATCTTGAGCGCGGGCTCAATGTCTGGAAACTCGAGGAACATGGTCCTTATGAATTATTCTTATAGTTGAGCATGAGGCGAATGCGACTGACAACGAGAGAAAAGCCAACGTCGTTCGTGCAAGCAAAGTCGTATAAAACAACATCGGGGTTTGATTCCACAGCCATTTCTATCTGCTGTACTATAATTAAAACGCGAAATAGTGAAATGTAGTATAAATACAATACACAGAAACTATTAGGAAAGGAAGAGAGTACCGAAAAGGCCGATGAACCTAAAGGTGCCCGGCTCTACAAGGCCTTGAACTATAGTTAACTAGGTAGCTACTGAAGATACTCTATGATGTAAGCACCACATGAGAAAAACTGACCCTAACTAGCCTGTGCTGTATTGAAGCATAAAGGACCTAACATGTGTTACATAGATGCGAAATACGAGGGATCCTGGTGGCCTTCGGCCACCGGATAGTTATTGCCAAGCGAAACGACTAGTTCTAATTTCTAAGGCCACGTAGTAATTAGTAACTAGTTAATAGTAAGTAATCCCCTCCTGGGGAGGAGTAAATACCTTCGTGATCGCCGCTAAATTCCGAGTAGAACGGTATATATCACGTGCTCTGTAATAATAATTCTGCCGTACTTATCTTCACCGCATTATTTTTTTGAGGCCCTCACCGCGCCATAGTTATCGATGATTTGGGGACCCCTTAGTAGACCAAGGTCACGTGACACGGGACCCCTTATGATATGGGAGCTTCGCTACGCTCAGCAATAAGCATGTATCCAACGTTCTGGAAGAAGATGGTAAGTGAAGAAGTGTGAATTAACCAAGAAGAATTGTTGCTATTAGCTATAAATTATCTTTTCAAAATTTGTCTCTTTATTCTCTGATCTCATAGTATAAAGTAAGAATGCTTTCCCTTCATATAACCATATTCTCAGCCATTTTCCATCAATTGGTAAGATGGCCGAGTTGGTCTAAGGCGCACGGTTCAGGTCAACCTGATCCCGATGGTATACAACTGTCTCCGTGTCTCGAAAGAGGCGTGGGTTCAAATCCCACTCTTATCATATTTTTTTGTTTTTATTGCCCACTCCTATCTCTTTCTTATCGTAGTAGAGTGGTGTCGTTGTTTTTGGTAGACATGCATAGTCTAGTGCGGAAAACGAACACAATGTAAGTTGGAAGTTGGAAAGAAAGCGCTCTTCGAAAGTTATGTGTAAAAGCATGACCATAGAAGGTAAAAGGAGAAAGCGAAACACTAGTGTATAAAGAAGGAAATAGCCAGGGGAATATGCGCATATCTATAGTCTAGTCCCGGGAGGAAGAACGCGAGGAAGAAAACTACATAGAATAAGAGACCACTAGATCAGATGAATGAGCTTACAAACAGAGAGGCATATCCCCCAAGCCACAAATGACCCAACGTGATAACGCACCAGAAATCAATCAGAATGTATAATATACTACAGTATCCGGACTGGTTCTATGTACAGTTTCTGAACCGAGCCGGAGAAGAATTGCCAGAGGCCAGAGTAATAACGTGATGGGAAACAACAATGGATAAGAATAAGTGTTGGAGCCACTACAGCTTAGCCCTAGGAGCAGACATCTCCTCGGTGGCCTGCTCGTAGAGCTGATCCAAAAGGGAACGGTATACCTTGACCACGGGGGGACGCTTGAGCTTGAGACTGAAGGGAAATATTGTTAGCAATGCTGGGAGTACGGAAGTGAAAATAAAAACTTACGTCGGGGTCAACAAGTTGTTCTCAACGGTGAACGGCTCCACCTTGAGAGAGACGTTGCGGATTCTCTCATAGCCAGCAAACTTGTGCTTCTTGGCCACGCGCTCGAGGTCAGCGATAACAGCACGGCGGAGCTTGTCATCGCCCAGAGATTCCTTGACTGCTTCCACGGTCGGGGCAATGGTCGTGCCCAGAACCTTGCTGGCATACGGAGCGAAGAGGTCAGGCGCGACACCGAAGATGCCAACCAGGAAGGTTTGCATACTATCGCCGTGGACATAAGCCTGGGCGATGTAACCGAGCTCAGCAAGGACGACACCCTCCAGACGCTCGGGGGAGATGTACTCGCCCTGGGCGAGCTTGAGCACGTTCTTGCGGCGGTCAATGATGATGAAGCGGCCTTTTTCGTCGATTGTGCAGACATCACCGGTGCGGAACCAGCCATCCTCGGTAACGGCATTGCGGGTCTCTTCCTCGTTCTTGTAGTACTCGCGGAACATGTTGTTGCCGCGCAGCAAGAGCTCACCACGAGGGAACGGCTTGTCATCCACGGAGTACTCCATATCTGGCAGGGAGGCCAGGCAAGCCTCGACGCAGGGTGCGAGACTACCACAATTGCCGGCGGTCAGATCGTATGTCGGCTGGGCGGTGGCTGAGGCGTAGGACTCGGTCAAACCGTAACCCTGAAGGATATCGGTGCCGGTGGCGACACGGAGGAAGTTGTGTAGGGTCGGGTCCAAGGGCGCGGAGCCAGACACCATATATCTGGTTCGCTCCAGACCAAGAGCGGCAGTCACCTTCTTAGCCCAGATGCGATCATACAAAGCGTGCCTGACTGTCGCCTTGGAGGGATCGGGATTCTTCATGTTGGCGGTTTTGGTCGCAATGATGTGTCGCGATAGAGCGCCCTTGAAGCCAGGCTGCTCAACGGTCGCGGAACGGATTGCACTACCAAATCGACTGTAAAGACGAGGAACGGACATGAAACCAGTGGGCTTCAGCAACTTCAAATCGTCGACCAGCTCCGCGATGTTTCCGTGGAAATAACCAATCCGTGCACCACCCCAGAAAGCAGTGTGCTCTGCCAGACGGGCATAGATATGGGCCAGCGGCAGATAAGAGGCTGTCGTATCACCGCGGGCTTGGGCGATAGTGATCAGACCGGCGGACGTGGCAGCCACAGCATTGCCGTGCGTCAGAACGACACCCTTGGGGGGACCGGTCGTACCGGAGGTGTAGTTAATAGTGACAATGTCCGAGGCAGAAGGAGCATTGTATCCACGCTTCGAGGCCAAGCCCAGCTCCTCAACCTGATCCATAGTGTAGATCGCCAGGCCCTGATCGGCGGCCATGGACTCGAGAAGGGCACGCTTAGTGAGACTGTCCTGCTCACCTGCATCCAACGGGTCCAAACTGATGATGATCTTCAGGTTCGGAAGAGAAGACTTGAGCTTGATCAGAGTCGGGATGTGGGGTAGAGAGGTGACCACGCAGTGCAGCTCAGCGTGATTGATAATATATTCGGTAGCGTCCGGGGCCAGGACATCGTAGATCGAGACGGAGTAAAGAGATTGGGAAACACAGGCCAAATCTGTACATAGTATCGATTTAGCGTCTTATATCTTGAATTCTTCGGTCTCGCAACCTCACTCACCAGTGATCTGCCACTCCGGCCGGTTCTGGGCCCAGAGGCCAATACCATACTGGCCGGGGCGATGGCAGTTGTGCTTGTGGTGCAGCTCTACCAGACCAGCTCCGAATGCGGCGCGTCTCTTCTGCACAGTCTCGTAACTGAGCCACTCGTATGGATCGAAGGACTTGGTCGTGGAGTTATACGGACGCCAACCGAGGCAGTGGTTCTTGGGCTGGCGATTGGCGGTCGACTCGAACATATCATGGGCCGTGGTGACCTAAAATCGGTTAATATTATGGTATTGTCGCATTCGCGCGTGGGCCTCTGTACCTTGGGGTCTAGTGTCACCAAAAGTTCCTTTTGCGCATTCCATGCTCGGTATACCGGACTCCGGCCGGGCTGTTCAGTGCCAGGAAGGGCCACAGAGTAAGCTGAACCCTTTGGAGGAGCTTTCTTAAGCTCCTCGGCCTTAACCAAATGGGGAGGTTGTGAGAAGAACATGTCTGTCGGGATAAGGTCAGCGGAAGGAATCAGAATGAACGATAGACGGACGAACCAGAATTTAAACAAAGGAGCGAAAGAAAGAAAGGTCCGAGTAACCACGTATTAAAGGGGGAAAAAAAGTGTGGGGGAGAAAACTGGAGTTGAAACCGGAGCGACCGACGCTTTTCGGAGACAGCAGACATGAGCCGACAGGGAACCTCGGCTCTTTTTGGGGGTACTTGCCACAAAGTGGTACCTCCTATATTATCTCAGGTACCTAAACTAGTGGATCCTGCTTACATACCCCACGTCATTTGCATAACTCACATGCACTTTTCACATGGAAACCGAGTTAGAAAATATATACGTATATCAGTATATTATATTGAGATTTAATAAGATATATGTATATTGTGGGAGTATATATGCGTTAAAAAAAGATAACGCCCATAAAATATGCAAACAAACAAAAAAAAAGAAAATATATACAGTGAGATCGGCAGTCTCTAATTACCCGCAAATCCACTTCCATGCCTTGCCATACCAGGTAGTTGGCTCAATAGTCTCCCATGTCTCGTTATCAGCAGTGGTACGGCCGGTATCCAGGTCGGCTTCGATAGGTTTAACAAAGGCGGGGCGATAAATAATCTTGTGTCCCGCATACAACACCACGAACAAGATCAAGCTCAGGTAGTTGATGAAGAACTCCTTGACTTGGAAGTGTGGGATGAAGGCAGTAAATCCCTGGGTGAAGATGATCAGAATATTGAAAAACAGACCATACCATGAGAACCAGGGCTGCCAGAGGGCCTTGTAGGGCAAGATATCCCGAGAGATGTTGCGAGCCTTGAGTGCCCGTTGGAAAGCGAGATGACAAGCGTTCAGCGAACACCAGGTGATGAAACCAGCCACACCAGAGATTTGAAGCAACCAAGTGAACACAGTGCTGCCTGCATCAGAGACGTTCAAGAATCCAAGCAGACCAAAGGCCGCCGTGAAGAGCACACTGTAGTAAGGCACACCACGCTTGCTGGTAATCTTGAACCAGTGAGGAGCGAAACCTTCCTGGGCCAGACCGACTAGGATACGACTCCCGCTGTAGACGTTGGAGTTGGCTGCCGAAAGCACCACGGTCAGAAGAACGGCGTTGATGATACCGGGGAGAGCCGTGACACCGGCACGATTGGCGGCAATGACAAAGGGCGAAGCGTTGGCATTCTGAGCAGAAGCACCATCTCCCTGGCTAGCCAACAGGCCAGGATCGTCAGAGGGCACGACAATTCCGAGGAAGAAGATGGTCAGGATGAAGAAGAAGACGATACGGAAGAAGGTTTTGCGAATTGCAGATGGGACAGTCTTGCGAGGGTTCTCGGTCTCACCGGCCGCAATACCAACCAGTTCGGTTCCCTGGTAGGAAAATCCGGCCTGAATAAGCGTCGACCAGAATCCAACAAATTTGGCTAACGAATCGTTTCCTTTAATCAAGTAGGGGAAGAACGGACCGGGGTCCACCCAGTACCGGAAACCGATATATCCTTCCTTGCCGACGCCGGCATTCATGCAAATCGAGAAGATCATGAAACCAATCACGGTGATAACCTTGATACTGGCGAACCAGAACTCGATTTCACCATAGAAGCCCACGGGCATCATATTGAACATGATAATCACGACCCAGAAGACGGCGATAAAGATAGCGATCGGAATGCTGCTATCCCAGAACTGGATAATCAAACCGGTTGCGGTCAACTCCAGTGCAAATGTTGATGCCCATGAAAACCAATAGATCCAACCCATAGCAAAGCCCAGACTAGGGTCAATCAGGCGAGCAGCGTATGAGGTGAAGGCGCCGGGAATCGGAATATATGTTGCAATCTCTCCGAGAGCGGTCATGACCGAGTAAACGATCGTTCCGACAAAGATATAGGCGATGAGAGCGCCCACCGGGCCTCCATGAGCAATGGCCGTTCCGCTACCAATGAACAATCCGGTTCCTATTGTGCCGCCTTCGAAGACCATTAGTCTGAAGATTCTCAAGATTCTTAAGATTCTGATATCCAACTAACCAATGGCAATCATCTGCAGATGTCTGCTCTTCAACTTCCGCTTGAGATCCGGCAGCGGATTTGCCTCGCGCTGGGCGCCATGTTTCTCGTAGTCGATCTCATAGTCGGCCGGGCTCTGCGCTTGGACTTGGACGGGCATTTCAGTGCTCGCCTTTCCCTTAGGCGGAGTTGACTTGTCCGAGGCCATATCTGAGGCAAGACAGATTTGAGAGCTTCCAAGGTGGGAAGAGGAGAAAGGAAAGATTTGAGTGCAACACTAAGTATCCACTCAATTAAGCCCACTGGGGTCCGAAGACAGGCTTTTTTCCCTTGTGGATACACAGGTCTGAACACTTCGGAAATTTGTAAAAAAAATAAGGGGAAATATGAGGGGAAATAGATAGCTTTTATTATATGTAGATTTCTATTTTATTCTATCTCTTCTTTTATTTTTTTCCTTGGGAAATCAAAATTTTCCTTTTAATTTTTTCTTTGCCAATATACCGGGGTGGGTTTGCCGGGAAAGAGTTTTTTGGTGGCGACACTCTTTGCCCCCAGCAGATTTGTATATTTTAGATATTTGATACATAGACATATATGTATATTATCTACAATCTAGTCCTATTATGTTCTTTTTATATTCTTTTTTTATATATATGGCTAAAACACTAAAAAAAAACTAGTAATCTATATTGTAGCCACATACTTGGCAGTCTTGGCAGAGGCTTGCCGTTTGCGGAGATAACAGGTAAATAAGAATGTCATTACATCTTCAGACTCTTATGAAAAGAATTTCCATCGCTAAGGGGTATCGCATCATTACAAACATATCCAAAAATAAATATTTCATCCAGCCTCAAATGCTTTCATGAAAACAAATTCAAACCCCCATACGCACATTCGAATGTGGTTTCACTTCTCCACCACGACGGTGGTTCATCAGATCGACAATACCAAAATAGCTGGTAACTGCAAAAAGCACCCTAGATGCCACACAAATTACAGTTAGAATCCTCTATCGATGAATACTGTCGCAAAGCGACAGGGGACGGAATCTCACCATTCAAAAGCCGCAAATACCGTTGCTGCCTGGAGCGAGCTGCATACACTCCCATGACACGCCCTCGGTGGAGGCAACATCGCTCCCAAAGCGATAAATCCAGCAAACCAGAAGATCATGGTAATAACCTCAACGGCAGGAATTACATAGTGGTGCGCAAGACGAGGGAACCATATGGGTGAAATGGCGAGGTAGGGCACCGCTACAAAGGCGGTCCAGCAACCGAGGAAGAGGAGGAAGTTGACGGTATCCGAATATGACCATCCATAATAGTATTCTGACACCACTAGAGACTTGTCAGTTTTTTTAATATTTTTGGAAATTTTGTTCTGAAGCGACGGACCATATCCTGTCAAGCCGATCACGATCACGCCAAAGAGTGCTTGCACGATTCGGACGGGGTATATCCACGGGAGGGTCATCTTCGATATGGATGTAGGTGTTGTTGATGTTGATGCCAATGTAGATACGTAGTACCTGTGAAGGTGTGAATATTAAGACAAGGTAAAATTATCTGCGAAGTTTTCGTTAGAAAGGACATTTTCTAACAAGGTGTGGCATGGTATATAATGCAGGGATATGCAGCCACTGGCGTCGCGCCAGCGTCATTAATATCTTGCAGTCTTGGTTTTGACACTTTCGACAGGGCTGACGTAGGGGCATTATCTTGACCTACCTTGAATACTTTGACACCTTCCGACCTTTCCTCTTTTCTTAACTGGCTACTGTTTAATTTATACTCTTCTTTTCCTTAAATTACTGCCTAGATACTATTTATACATCCTACTTCTGTTTGCTGCCTATGTATTTCTATACTCTTGGCTAAATGCACGTGCAAGCCATATGACGCCGGGCTGCCGATCACTGTGAAACTTGGTTATACACATTTTTCCTAGTGATAAATGGAAATCCATGCTTAAAAGTTTCTCGACTTTGCTTTGCGTTCCATACTTAATGAGACACAGAGACAAACACAAAGACACTCTGTTTCTCGCATGTATGAATTCCTATTGTGGCTGTGACTGGCTATGTGACAAAAGGCCGACCTTATACTCCCTTGTCCCCACAGACTCTGTAGGCAAGGAAAGCGGCTGTGCATCTATATCCCTAAGGACCATAGAAGACTTGACAAAGAAGCGTCTACAGCAAAAATTACTACGCATGTCCAATATATGTCTAAAGAATAGACTCGCAGAACGAGCATGTAGATGTCATTTGGATCAATTCGTCGCTCATGCGCCTGTACAGATTTATGCAACCCAATTACCCTCCCAGTCTTCATGATATGAACGTAGCAAATCAATAATCACGGAAAACAGCAACCATGTCATCTAATCGAGATACCTCCGCCAGCAGCAAGGCTTCCTTGGCCTTCCAATTGCGAAGATGTTCTAATTCGGCCTCGGAGAGGAATTCTTCCTCGTGGCCCTTGACGTCAGTTCGTTCAGTCTTTTCGAGGAAATCTCTCTCGCGGGTACGTTCAAATTTGATGCGCTGCAGGCACCGTGACATGGCTTTGTATGTATCCTCCAGAATGCTGCTGCACACGCGATCCGGATCGTAGTACCACAGGTAGATTGTCTTGGAAGGTTGACGCTGCGCGTCACGTGGCACTTCCTGCAAATCTACAAACCCTCCAGTTTGCATGCTAGCAAGCGTTTGGCGTAGGTCTTTGAAGGGTAGGAGACTGATCTCTTGGAGTCGTTTCTCGTCAAGCTTGCCCTTGGCATGCAGGACGCGGATCACCCGTAGTGCCACATCTCCGTACCGCGATTCAATCATGCGCTCCAATTCTAAATGGCGAAGCTTACGGGCCAGGCCTCGGAATGCAACTCGCCACGTAGGGAGGCCGGAGATGACGTGTTTTGTGGTAAGATTCAAGGGAGGTTGTGAGAGAATACTAAGGTGCTGGTCGATCTCGTAGGCGCGGTTCTGCCCGCTCGGTTCGTCTTCATGCTCGTCACCATTCACGCCGTTTGAATCATCGTCCAATGGTCGCTTCCCGCGTCGGTTTAACACCGTCGAGGGCTCCATCGGGCCAATACATCCTGCAAGGTCCAGATTTGGGTCAACGTCTTCGACGATTGAGCTCAGTTGGATTGGAGCAGAGTATTGTTCGCCTTCTTCTCCTTCGCGAGGAATCTCATAAGAGTCTCGGCAGCGGGCCGTTTGGTATTCAATTCGCCGAAGCAGACAATCGTAAATCTCAATTGAGGCGGGGGGTGCGTCTTGCTCAGCAAGCTCAAGGAACCGCGTGTTTCGAAGGGCCACGTCAAATTTCTCGTAGTTCACTCGAATGATGAGGTTAGACTGTAGTAAATGTCAGCGGTTTATTCGAAGCCGTAGGGAAAGAAGAAATGAGCTTACATCCATTGGCATTGAATCAATTCCATCTTCATCTTCGGACCAATCGTTCTCCTCTTCCTCGTCATCTGCATGGCCCCCGTTGACACCGTTGGTGCCATTCGGCGCCGGCTGGTTGAACTCCTTGTTGCCGTGGTCGCGTTTTCTTTTGGCGCCTTGAGGGAGGCCATTGTACATTAAACCCCGGCTCAGATCTCCTTCGGTTCTTTCTTTGACCATTTCCTTCGCCTTCTCCTCAATCTCCGTCGCTTGCTGTTTGCCCTTCATTAGTTTGACATCTGGCCTTGATGAGATAGTTCGGGAAGCATCTAGCCAGTTGTCATTCGGGCTCTGGAAGTGCGCCTCTCGAAGGCGATGGATGTATCCGTGGGAGGCAAGACTCTTCAAGGTGGGGTGAAGACGCGCCGGTTTCTCGCTCACAGCATGATCACCGTTAGGAACAGCGGCATCCTCTTCCTTTTCCTCGTCTCCCTCCGCCTTGATTTCGTCGTGGTTGACTCCATTCGGAATGCGCTGCTTCTTGGATTGAAGCTCGGGAAGCGTCTCGAGGTGGGCGATCGAGGAGTGACCGAGGCTCATGATTGTTTCTAACACCTGGGCCGCGTATTCTCCCAACCGGCTCTCAACGAGCTGGAGGATCTTTCCAGATCGCACGAGGGAGTATGCAGCTTGTGGATTAGCTTCGTAGTAGGTATTGCCGTCGTCGAGGGAAGTGAAGTGATAGATCAAGTGGTGTTGGATCATGGCGGAGAGGCCATGGTGCAGCTGGCGATCTGACAGACGAGCATAGAATTTTAACCGAGGGAGAGTCAGTCTTTCGTAACGTTGAAGGACGGTAAAGATGCGCTGCGAAAAGTTGACACTAGTTAGCCTGCTTCCTTCCCCGCTGTCGCAATGAATCATGACAGCCCTAGAATCTGCACAAGATGACTCACAGCAAAGAGCTCTCCAAAATTGTCTTCGATCAAGAGCATACAGAGCTCGGCAGAGCACTAAATTCATGTCAGTAAGTAGCTCTCTCGAGGTTAGCGGGACAGTCGCATACCTGGGACATCATGGTGGGCTAAAGAGATAAAAAAAGAAATTCACCAGCCACCAAACCTCGAGAGGGGGCACTTGAGGGTCACCGAATGTTCATGAAGATTTCCAAGCCAGCAGAGATCTGCAAGTCCAAAAATCCAATGCGCGATGAGATGCAGGTCTTCAACGTTCTTTTGTTCTTTTTTTGCTTATCGGTATATTCACGTGACACCAATCAGGTGATCCAAAAGCCTCACTCGGAGGAAACGTGTTCAGCTAGAGAGAATGAATGAGGAACAATAGAGAGGTTCACAACTTGAATAATGATATCAATTGTTTAAAGAAAATACCCAAATAAGACTATAACAATTATATACAAAAGACAATAAGAAACTCCTTCTATATACTCGAACAAAAGTAACTCCGGTTCCGTCCGCGCTTTTGATTACTTGACCGCTGATTGGCTGGAGTGACGAGTCGGGATCTTGAAGCTTTTCGTGACCTCCCAAACTGCATCTTCTCTCTTGCTCTCTCCGCATCCCACCTCCTTCCCCGCCTCATTTGCGCCTCTTTACAAACCCAATTCGGGTTTCTATCTCTTCTTTTTCTCTCACATCTTCTCGGCACAGGCGACGATGCTGTCGCGGTCTTCCCTCAGCCGAAATGCGCCGCGTGCGTTCGCCGCCGCCGGCCGTCGGTCCATGGCCTCGGCTGCCAACCCGGCCTTCCAGTACGATGTCTCCGAAGCTTCCGGCGTGAAGGTCGCCAACCGTCAAGTTGAGGGCCCTACTGGCACCCTGGCCCTGGTTGCGAAGGCTGGTTCCCGTTACCAGCCCTTCCCTGGTTTCTCCGATGCTCTCGACCGATTCGCTTTCAAGGTCGGTTCCATACCATCAATTGATTCATCTCAGGTATATTTGGTGATACTAATCATACAATTCCTAAACAGACTACCCTCAAGCGGTCGGCACTGCGGATCACCCGGGAGACTGAGCTGCTGGGCGGTGAAATCTCGTCGACACACTCGCGCGAAAATATTGTCCTCCGGACCAAGTTTCTCTCCAAGGATCTCCCTTACTTCACAGAGTTGCTGGCCGAGGTTGCTACCCAGACCAAGTTCGCAGGTGAGTCGGCCCCTTATGATCAATCGTGATTGGTGGGTCGCAATTATATGAAGCATCCTTTGCTGACTCGAGCCCCCCCCTGGATGATATCAGACCACGAATTGAACGAGGTTGTAAGCAAGCTCCTCAAGTACAAGCAGCAGGCCGTCCACTCTAACCCGGAGACCGTTGCTGTCGATGCCGCCCACGGTGTTGCTTTCCACCGCGGTCTGGGCGCCTCCATCACCCCCTCCCAGTCTTCTCCTTACGAGAAGTACGTCTCCGGCGATGCCCTGGCCGAGTTCGCCCAGAACGCCTACGCCAAGTCCAACATTGCTCTTGTCGCCAGCGGCCCCAACTCTGCTGAGCTCTCCAAGTGGGTTGGCCAGTTCTTCAAGGACACCCCCACCGGCAACGCCTCCAGCAAATACAACGTTTTGCCCTCCGTCGCCTCCAAGTACTACGGTGGTGAGCAGCGCATTGCCTCCAAGATCGGCAACGCTGTTGTGATCGCCTTCCCCGGCTCCAGCGCTTTCGGCACCGCGGGCTACAAGGCCGAGGCTTCCGTTCTCGCTGCCCTTCTGGGCGGCGAGTCCACTATCAAGTGGACTCCCGGCTTCTCCCTTCTGTCCCAGGCCACCAAGGGCTTCAACCAGCTCCGCGTTTCTACCCAGAACAACGCCTATTCCGATGCCGGTCTTTTCACCGTTACCCTCTCCGGCCAGGCCGACCAGGTCGCTGCCGCCAGCAAGAACGTCGTCGACGCCCTCAAGAAGGCTGCCGCCGGTGAGGTCGCCTCCGAGGACATCAAGAAGGCTATTGCCCTCGCCAAGTTCCGCGCTCTGGAGTCCGTTCAGACCCTCGAGACTGGTCTTGAGGCTACCGGCTCCGGCCTCGTCCACGGCAACAAGCCCTACCAGATCAACGAGATTGCTGAGGCTCTCGAGAAGGTCACCGAGCAGCAGGTCAAGCAGGTATGTTATCTTTCTCTCCGCATTGTTTATTTTGTGATACTAACAGCTCCCCGTAGGTTGCCAACACCTTCCTGACTGGCAAGGCTACCCTCGTCAGCGTTGGTGATATTCACCAGCTCCCCTTCGCCGAGGATCTCGGTCTGACCGTTTAAAATCCCTGTATACATTACACCGTAGAGAGGGAAGAGTCTGTTCCCTCCATTTTGGATTTGATGTGACCACTTGTGCCTAGATTCATTGCCGATATCTCCTTTGTTCTTTTAAGGGTGTAGTTGACTGTAATACAATTGTACCTTATCCTTTGTTTCCATTCTCTTCGGTAGATCTATGGATTTCCTTGGCTCGTGATCATGATCCTGGGGCGAGGTAGAATTTCATGGCAAGGATCGATCATTACTTGCATGCTTCATGTATCCATACCCTTTCGTTGGTTTCCCTGCGCTCCCACTTTTCATAGCAAAAATACCTGAAATTTGATCTCGTTTTACTCCACGAAATTGGATATACATACTACATTGTTCTATATATGAACTATCCAGGGCATTTCCTACACAAAGAGCCTCCAGCAATAAGAGTCCTGGAACTTGGCAGGCCAGTTGTTGATTTGATTGGTATAGATATAGGCTTATTGGGGATATATCCTATTTTGACGACATACTTCATCTGTACCAAGGTGAACCAACAAAAAGAAACCACCACCAATCATTATAATAAGAAAGAGATAGGAGGAAGCAATTAAAAAAATTGCAAAAATACATGATAAGAGTGGGATTTGAACCCACGCCTCTTTCGAGACACGGAGACAGTTGTATACCATCGGGATCAGGTTGACCTGAACCGTGCGCCTTAGACCAACTCGGCCATCTTACCAATTGGATGAAAGATGATTGAGAATATGGATTTATAAAGGGAACATGCATGTATAACTACACAGTGGATGAAAACTAGTCCAGCGTAAAGGTTAATAGCATGTTTTTTTCCTTTCTCAAATTCAAAATTAAAAAAAAGTAGATGGTGATGTGTGAAATAGTAATTATGTACCAACATTCCAAATTCAATAACTTTTCATTAATTGCTACAGTATCAGGGAATGGCCGAAGAGAAAATGCGGGATACATATCTGATAATAAAAATTCAGTTTATTTCATACAATGTTGTCCCTATCCGACTATACTATGTGACCTGAAACAGCAAAAAGGAATAGCCCCAACGCCGGAAGACACTTTAAGACGCCGAAGATGAGAGAAAAATGATATCCGAAAAGTCAAGAACGAAAGAGCAGAAAGGCAAACCCGTCCAATAGAAACCCTCCAGACAACAAACTAGAAAACCATAACTCCATAAAGCCCATACATACTCCGTATTCATACCCTCATTATCATACCGGATCCCATCCTATCGTTCCATAGTACCACACCAGTAATCAACTCGCAAATCCGAAAGACTGCGTGTCGGCAAACCCCAAGTGCGCGCAAGCCAGAGCGCTAATCCACCAACAACACCTACACTCCCAACAATCTGAACAAGCACCCAACTCCGGTGCCCGAGCTCATCAATCCAGCCAACCACTCCGAGTGGGTCATTCGGAGTGAAAGTCGTGAAGCGATACGTTCCGGAACCGGTATGTGAGTGCATGACCTGGAACCCATTAGGGCCCTTCTCGCCGACGTGGCCATGCAAACCACAAAATGGAGGCGTCTGCGAAAGAGGCACCAATGACCCATCGACAACACACTCGCCTAGCCGCTCGGTGAGCCACACAGCGCGCTCGCCACGAGCTAGCGAGGTATATCGATCGCGCTCGTTCTGTAGGCTGCGCTGCAGGTCTGTCGCCCACCGCGCAAGGCGGACCTGCGCCATGTGCTCTTCGTGTCGGGTGTAGTCTGCAATGCGGGCCATGGCATAGCCGGGTGGGGAGCCGGGTGAGATGGAGGCTCCCGAGACGGATTGCCAGCTGCTAGATGCACATGCGGACCCACTTGCGGCAGGACCCGACTGCGCACTGGGTAGCGACATTGAAGGGGGAGCGACGATGAGTCCGTGCGCTGCTGGAGGAGTTTCTTTGCGGCGGAATGGCGCATCCAGGCTAGATTATCGCGATCGAACATTTTGTTGACTAGGGCGTCTAGTTCGGAGGGTACGAGTGGCTGGACATAGTCTGGGCTCATTAGGGTGCTTGCATCCATTGTTTCATTGTCGATTGTTTTCTCGGAGGAGACGGCATATGGGGGCTGGGATTCGAGCCCATTTAGACCGTTAGGCGGGTCTCCGAATAGGAATGGTTTGATTCCCGCCTCGCGAGCTTGTTCGTGGAAGTAGAGTTTTAAATGGGTGATTTGAGTTGGGGTGAGGGTGTCTGCTTTGGATATTATTGGGATTACATTGCTTAGCTCGCAGAGCTTGCGGATGCATTCCACGTCTGTTGAGAGGGTGTCTATGGAAGGTCAGCGATCGGGGATTTGGTTTTGGAGGTTTCCCTCGGAGACAGAATAGAGATAACCCACCATTAGAAATCAAATATAAGATGGCATCCACCTGGGATCCACCATTCCCCGCTAGTAGGTTTTGGAAATCAACACTGGACCCATTGAGCGCATTGGTAGCACGGAAGAATTGCTGTCTCATATACTGCCCGATAGCGTCGGTTTGGCCTGTCTGGCTTAAATTTGTTGCAGTGTCTACAAAACATAAATTCCGCTCCAGCACAATTTCCCCGATGCTTCTCCGGCGTTGGAGCACGCGGGAATCTTCCAGATCAGACCACCATGAAGGATAAGGTTTGGTGCTAGCATAAATTTCCGTAGTGGCAGTCAACGTCCCCCGAAATCGCCCGGAAGGTCTGCGACGTCCTAAAGAGTTCTGTGGGATGGTGTCGACATGTACGATATCGTCGCATGTCTGAACAATAGACTTGATCAACGAGGTCTTACCAGAACCTAATGTTTGAGATAATCAGCTGGTGTAATCTTTTCTGAGACAATTGAAACCTACCGGGAGAACCAGCTAGAAGAAGTTTGAATCGACCCATGGCTTTTCCTCGCTCGGTAAATGGGCGCCGGCTGGGCATTTTGATACTTGGCATGATAAGTTGGGAGGCCCCACCTGGGGCCAAAAATGGAGACCCGTGGAGCATTTCGTTCTCATCTCCGGATCCGAAACCCTGACTATTGATTTCATCCGTGATAGAAATATCATCGAGTGGCCGCATGGACTGGTTTGATATAGATTTGGGGCTGCTGGGTAGCGAGGATGGGTCATCAGGGATGCCCAACGTAAGCGGAGTTAAGGGCCGAGACACTGCATGGATGGGAGATGGGTGCTCAGAGGATTCCCTGGTGCCTGAGTTTAGCGGCTTCAATGTTGACCGGCGCTGTGCGAGGTGCGATTCTAAATCGTCGGTTGCCTGCTTCAGGCTGTCTGCGGAGTGTTCGCGGGGCAAGGATGTGCTTGATTGAGATAGAGAAGCCAGGCTTTGTACTCCATACATATTCTCTTTGACATCCCCGCTATCTAAGGATATACTGGAATCCTGATCCGCGACATGTGGACTGCGCGATAAGAAGAAGGTCGCGGGGGTATCAATGCGGGGATCAAGGGATGGGGATGAGGGATGGTCGGAGGGTTTGCGAGAGAATGAGAGATCTGGAATAGGTCTCATTATGTAGGCATTTCCCAAGATACACAAAGTCAAGAAAGTTAATGAAGTTAACGAGGTTAACAAAGTCAACAAAGTCAACAAAGTCAAGCACTGGGAAGTACCTAGGTAACCCTGTGATCATGTCATCAAGCATCACGAGGTGATAACCTTGTACCCCTCTTGATTTCTGCCTGAGGTATTCATGCATGGATTTATATTCCTCAAGTTCCTTATATCAAGACAAGTATACCTATAGATATATAAGTACTTTAAATGTTACTTCTTACTTTATATTAGATATAATAGAATCTATTAATTATATGTATCAATACATATTTCCGGAAGTTACTCACTTTTCTCCGGATCTCCACTGTGGATTTTAAAAGAGAATTAGACGGAGTACTCCGAGTAAGCTCGTACTTTTTTTTCTACATCGGCTATAAGCACTATAAGCACACGCGCATCTAGCGCAGAAATAAGACCCCAAAGTCTATCAGTGGCAAGATGCCGACCACGGAGTACCGTCTCCGCCTTGAACTCCACTTCATCTCTTTCCAGGGCTCTTTTTGATTTCCCCGAACGGATTCTCCTTTTCTCCGACCTCCTCTTGTGTGAATGTTTCAACTCTTCATATCCTACTTCTCTATCGGCCTGATTGGCTCAACTGAGTACATCTTTTAAGCAAAAATGGAACCAGCCATGTCGTGGCCGGAACAACTACATGAGAATACTCTCATCAATGCGCCCGAAGAAGAGTTCTCTAACTTGTTCGAATTCAACATACCTTTTCCCGAAATCGAGCACGGACCAGGGAATATGCAGCATTCCCATTCTCTACCGACCACCACCGGCCCGGACTCGGATATGGCTCACCTACGATCGCATCCCGTGCAGTACTCGGGCCAGATGGAGGGCCTCATGGATTTTAGTGATAACACACAATCGCACACGCACCATACCCACCCAATGCCTTACTCGACTCCTCATATGACGCCAGGCTTTTGCGCACAGCCATCGCCCATGTCGCAGCCCCCTACGCATCAACATTACATGCAGAACCACAGTATGATCCCTCCCACCCCGAACAGTATTGAGATGCATGGCAATACCGCCCGATACCCCCAGCGCGCGGACGAAACCCCGGATATGTATGACGGATATTCACGCATCAATGAGGAACAGGTTAGTTGAGACACAAATCCTAGATGAATCCGTTGGCTAACGAATAAGGCCTTATATACTCCTCTTATCTCACCGGCTATGACGCCCCTGGAGAACCAATTCCGACTTCCTGAATACACAATCCCTGGTGAATACTTTACACCTCTTACCTCTCCCGCCCTGGAGGCCCAAAATGCCGAATCCAGCAGTTACCAGTACCATGCAAGACAGGTATCGGATATGGGCTTCGTTCCCACTACTGCGGAGGTGAACCCCCTTCCCGGAACCTCGGCTCCACCTTCTCCTAGCATCATTCGGAAGCCCAACACTCGTCACCGGCAATCAACGACCACTACCCGGCTGAATAACGCACGGAAAGTCAAGCAATCACCCATCATTCGGGCGCAGCGCAAACGCAGCACTTTGACCACCAATTCGGAGGAGTTCTACAGCAGCCTTACCCAGGAATTGAACACCACAAAACCGCAAAATCAGGACATCCGCTCACTCCGACTCAGCAGTAATGAGGGCTCTGGCCAGGACTCGGTATCCCCCGAGCCATTATCAGAACCATTGATGCCCCCTCCCGCTCTTCCTCCTCCTCGGATGTCTCCTGCAATTGCGCCCCACGTTCAAGCTTCTTCGCCTGGCACTGCTGCCACCCCTGCGCTTTTGATGCGCATCCAGCGGAATCAGCATTTGCAAGACCCTTCAGGCCAGTTCCGCGGTCAAGCGCAACTCGCAGAGCCTGAGTTCCCAGATGACATAATGGAGGATATATCTCTTCCGGAGGCGGCTGCTCCTTCGCAGCTGCGCCCGAGACCCAACCGCATCGATACCGCTATACGGACTTCGTCGATCTCCACGAATGGGACACCTTTCTTGGATCCCTCGTCAGCGTCATACGATAAGCCCTCTAGTGCCTCTTTTGCTCCCAGTCCACGCACAGCTGCAATGCCATCTCCCAGTGGGCCGGTCCCTCGGAAATCAGATTCCAGGACTGCGTCTAATCGGAAACGACCTAGTCTGAGTTCCACTCAGGCCAGCCCACAGTTGCGACCTAAGATTAGTCCCAGCATCCAGCCACTTATGAAAGGCAGTGAGGGTGAGTCTTCACCTGAATAGAATCCCATGGATGTTATACTAACTATATTTCAGGCATGTCACAAGATGCGCTTTACCTTGCATCAAAGTCCAACTACCAACACATTCTCGACGGCACTCTGCCATCGGGTGTGAGCTATCCAGAGGCCTTGGCAGAGAATCTGAGCTCCAAGCGGACGAATCACAAACTCGCAGAGCAGGGACGCCGGAACCGAATCAACAATGCGCTCAAGGAGATTGAGCTGCTCATTCCGCAGGAGTTCATCGATGTCCGCAACGCCAAGGAAGCCGCAGAATCCGGTGGCAAGGTCAACGAGAAGGAAAAAGAAAAAGAAAAGGCCAACCAAGCCATCAGCAAGGCCACCGCTGTGGAGATGGCCATTGATTACATCAAAGCCCTGAAGATGTCCTTGGACACGACCACTGCCAAGTTGGCCGCCGCCGAGGCCAAGCTATCGGGCGAGCCCACCAAGGAGAGCTCAACATCCACTTCCACTGCTCAATCCGAGAAGATTTCAAACGGTGTCACCAACTCGGAGACAAAGAGTTCGGCATGATCAGACTGTATTACCTTAATATGACCAGATCTTCTACTTGCCTGCATAGTTATGCAATCTATGGAACGGTGGAAGACCAAAAACATGATATTCCCTATTTGCGGGTGGAGATTTCGTGCAATTATACTATGGATCCATGATCTATACTTTATGTTTTTTAATGTGATTTTTGATAGCGTTGGTGTTTGAACTATGGGTGGCTTATTTTTGTTTTTGCTATTTCTACCAGATAACCTCTGCCAAATCGAATTTCTTTTTCATTATAGTGCTTAGACCTCGGGCATCGTATATTGCTCTCGTATTTAAAAGAGCTAGGCCCCTGGGCAGCTACCTCAATTAAAGAACAGCACGCTAGCCCCATCTACGTGTAACCCTGCGCTGTATCCCTCTATATTGTCTCTCATGTATATTAATGTGACCGTTCACACTAAATATATTAGCTACTTTATATATAGCAAATACGCAATGGAACCTACTCTAACCTAATTAATGTTCTACGCTATAGGTATCACCTTAGGAAGACTTCGCTTACGCGTACTTTTTTACCTAGCCGCTAGGTTTCCGCTAAATCGATCAAGAATCTAGCTCAAAAGTAGAAGCGCATTACTGTAAACTTGGGAAATACTAGGGTCTAGCTCGCGGTTTTCAAAAAACATCAAAGATATGGTCTTGGAGTGATTACGAGACTTTAAAGCTGAATCAAGTAACCAAATTATGTTGCCTATTTCCTCTGTTCAACATTAAGTGCGTATATATTTCAAATCATCAAGTCTTCCTAGGGTAGACTTGCTATTATCCTCCGTAATAACGGAATATGTATAGCAGCGAAAGTATCGTTTACACAAATGTACTCAATAGAAAGCTTGCAATGTGTACTCGAGGACTTGAATGGTCTCCAAAAAAACATTTCTTCTGAGTTATCACGCTACAGAAGTTCACAGAGCATATCTCGTTCATATCGTCATGCCTTACTCGTTATCCCTGACATCAATAACCGTCGTCTTGAACTTGCGAGCAGGAATCTTGCGATTAAACAAGATATCGCTTTCACGGTAAGACCGGCCCTTGAGCTCAGGAAGGAAGAAGTAGGCCGACACGAAGCAGACACAGGCAGTACCTCCCCAGACGTAACCACACTTTCCAGCCAGATTCCATCCGGTAGGGTTGAGCATCTGCGAGGCAAGGTAGATCATGGGGATCTCGGCGACATAGTAGGCGGCACGACCGACACCGGTACTCAAAGCGCGAAGACGGACGGAGGAGGTCTCGGCAATGATGGTGTATGAGATGGGTCCGAGAGAACCGGCAAAGACGAAGGAGATTATAATTCCCAGAACGGCCTGGGCGTAGTTGGTCGCATGGTTTTGGCTGATAGAGGCGCAGACACCGAGGAGCATGAGCAGAATGACGTTGGTGACTGTCCCCCAGAGGTAGATAGTTCGGCGACCGAATGAGGAGGCCAGAGGTAGAGAGATTATGTTGGCAACCAATTGAAGACATGAGTTGATCAGATTGAGCTGGAATGAACGGTCGGATCCCATGCCGGCCTCTAAGTGGGGAGTCAGTTATCCATTGCGACATGAAATTTAGTTAAAGAAGCTACTCACGTTCGAAGAAGTAAGTTGCCTGGTTGGCAATCAAGTTACCGGCAAAGTTCTGGGATGCGTAGATCAAGCAGGTGATGATTGTTCGTCTTAAATCGGTTCCCTTGAGAAGGTCGAGGAGAGTAGGGGAACCGCCCATTTGAGCTTCGATCTCAACGGTTCGCTCAATCATGGCAAGTGACTGTTGAGCTTGCTCGTCGGATTCGCTACCAAGACGTTTGATGGAACGAAGGGCCTCATCTTTGCGTCCGCGGCGAATCAGCCACCAAGGGGATTCGGGGGCGAAGAAGAGGAGAATCAAGAGGGGAGTCTAGAGGAAGTCAGCGTCTATAATAGAATATTTTCAAAGAGGACTTACAGGGAAAATCCACTGCAAGGCAAGAGGGATACGCCAAGCCCACTCATCGGAACGCTTGTTGAAGCCGTATGTTGCGCCAGCGACAATGATTGAACCAATAGACCAACTCATTTGCAGGGTAGCCGTACAGGCACCTCTCAGGGAGAGAGGAACAATCTCACTAGCATAAGCGGGAGAGTTTGCAATGAAGAATCCCCAAGGGACACCTTCTAAGGCTTGGCCGACCACAAGGAGGGTGAGTGAGTTGGCCTAAGTGGAGTTAGAGAACAAGCTCAACATTTGGGGAGGTCATAGCTTACAAAGAAGGAAACAAAAATTGTCAGATTCATAAGAATCAGAGCAAAGATAGTTGTCAACCGGTAGCCGTATCTGTTGGTGACAGGGCCGGCCAAGAAAACACCGACGAAAGCGCCACATTGACCGGCCTGGAAGAGAGAACTCTGCCATTTGGTTGGAATAATGTGACCGTCGTGTCCGTCGATTTGGACACCATACTCCCGTTGAAAAGCGGGAAGTGCGACAAAGTTACCATTCAGGAACATGTCAAAGGATTCCATGACCTGTTTTATGTTAGATCTTGAGATCCCGGGGGAGCAACCGGAATGCGAAGGGATATCAAAAAAAGACGTACAATAGTGAAACACATGGTGAATGCCCATAAGCAAGCCCAAGGGTGACTTTTAATGGCCGTCCATGTACTCATTCCATGTTCGCGGTTCTCGCCATCGAAGGCATCGTTCATGAGATCCGAATTGACCAACACCTCGGATTGTTCAATACCGGCCTTCTCACCTTGCAAATCATCTTTTGTATCGCCTGACATTTTCGAAAATTATGTCCAGGTCAAGAATGGAGTGAGAATCAAAGCTCGGAGAAAAAAAATAATTTAAGGACGGGCTGGGGGGTCTTATATTCTTTGACCCCATCTACGCGTCTCAAGGGTACAGTATGCGCGTGATACGTGGATTAATTCTGCCATCCGAGAGCTATCCAAACAAGGACAGTAGCGGTCGGATAGACAAGCAGGGGGGTGTAACCCTGTCCCGCCGGGGTTTTTCCTGTTTCCCACGAGCACGACGGTTACAGTAGAGAATTTACCCGGACTGGGCCAGGGGCCGAGCCTAATGCGTTGGAAGCTTAGTTAGGTCCAGAAAAGGTTAGCCACCGGCGTTGTAGCTGCGAATCGGCTGACCAAAAGGATTGTGGCGTTTGCGGGTAACCCGCTTGGGGAGATGAAGCCGGGGTATTTAGATTGCATTCTGGGCAACTGGTCATATACGAAGTTATTTGACCCTGATGTGACTCTGGGGATTCCCCATAAAATTTAGATGCGGGGCCCCGGACGAGAGGGTAGAAAGAGAAAAAAAAATACACGGGATGCGACATGGCAAAGAATGTAAAGCGTGTCTCAACTATTCTGCTTAAAGACTAACGTGGACGCCACAGTCTGATCGGTTAAATGACTGCATATGGTTGCATGGAAATCTCAAACATCCCGGTCTGAGCGTCTCACCTGATCTTTTTTTTGGTTGTACATATTCTGTGGGGTGATGGTTGCGTTTTCGGAGATCAAAGATCTACATATCGAGGTCGGACATGACCCTTTCAGCCCCAGACTCGAAGGAATATACCACATCCATGATAATGGCATATTTTCGGCCTATGATTATAGTTATATTTTCATATAATAATAAAATTAGGCCCTAATGAAAATATCAGTGGGATACTCAGAAAGATTCCACAACTGTCGCGTCCCTTTCCTAGCCATCCATTCTCCGGCCTGTCGCTATGCAGCATGTCAATAGCAGCGGGAATGAAATGGAATATCCACGTTGGGTTCTAGAAGACGGCAAGGGTCGGCATAGCTTTGTTGCTATTTATATCATCGAGAACAATAGCTACCTCTGGGGTTTGATTTGCTACGGCTCCAATACCATTCTCTTTGTTGATTCGATACTTTGCGCTGTAAATAATCACCGAAATGCTGGAAGAAAGAAACCATCACAATGAGAGGCTCGAAAGGCAGAGTACTTGAGAATAGTTCTTTTCAAACCGGGGTATATAAACACTCGTCCTCATCCAGGCCGTCGAGTCACATAACCATCTCACACCATGCCTTATGGCCTATGGATCAGGCCTGGGGCTGCGGTGGATCACGGTCAAGCTTTCCGATGGCGATCGCCACTGCGATGCAGATTTGATGCGCATGGTGATTGAACGTCTCCAGGATGAAGAGGTCGTGGTCAACTCGGAATATACCAGCTAAAGAGGCCATTGGAAATATCGTTCCCGGTTGTGGATTCCAGTTCTCGTTGTCAGCAATGGATTGATAGAATATTTGAAATAGTCGTAGAGATCGTTAAGAGCTACAGAGAGGGAATTGTAGCTGGTCGTATCTCCTTCAACAGTGATACCTTGTGGAAGGTGCTCCATGTTTTGCCGCAAGTAGGGTAGGGCTCGAGCCCCACACGTGATCCACTCAACGAAATCTAGATTTCTTTTTTTCTTTAAAATAATTTCTCAATGTCTGGTCCACATCTTTCGCATTGTCCATCAGACTGCAGTTTGATCAGAGACGGTATCCCTAGCTGTACCATCCCTAAAGCTGATACAAGCTTGAGGGTTAGAGGAGATAGTGTATCTGACATGAAACGTATGATGCAAGAAGCCGTTGACGGGTTTGCAACCAGGGACCTGTGGCCCAATGGTGAAGGCGCCGAGCTTATGTAAACATCCCTCCGGGGAGTTTCCATGCCGTTCCTCGGAGATTCGTGGTTCAATCCCGCGCAGGTCCACTTTTTTTGACTCCACATATACTCCGTATATGGATCATATATGGAGTTTAATAAACTAAAATATAACATGAGATCTTTTTTTCTATACTGATATTATTTCCCAATAAGACAGGTAGATGAGGCAAATGGATAAAGAACGCTAAGCCAGAAAGGATAAGGCTAATAGAACAGCTCTTCATAACGGTCCGATATCGTGTAATGGAATGGTCACGATTTGGCGTAGTCAAGTATCAAAAACTGTGGTGTTTCCACATCGATATTTTGGCCGACTGAGCATGGCGCCAGTGTTCACGCCATACTTAGTCAGGAAGGAGGCGCCTACCATTACACCATATCGCTACATGACCTAAGTGGGTTTTGCTTTCACCCTTCTAGTTTAGCATCTCATGTTTTTGTACTTCGCCGTGCGTGGTAGTACTTTCGTATAGATCTAAAATATATATTGACATTTTTTCGACCTCCACTCGTTGGATTTTATTCAAAATTAGTATGATTATTTATATAGTGATTTCAAATATAAACTCTGAATTTAAGAATTTGAACTCTTTAAACTTAGTAGAAGGGTCAGAATGCCAGCGATTACAAGGTGCTAGTTAAACCCCCTAAATAGGCTATAATGGAGGCCTTATCGGCCCCCACGAATGGGCTGTGGGTTGGGCTATGGGCCTGGGGTCCGGGCCCGTGGGCTTTGCGATTCACTAATCTAGCCCTATGGGTCGAGTCCGACCTAACCCGCCCATTAGTCACGCTTCCATACGCTCCCTTTCCGGTTACGTCCCAAGGTTAACAGTCAATTACACTTTTCTACGAAAATAACGTCACTGCTAAGCTTCCTTACTGCCTGATTTATTAGATAATCAATAATACATTAGTTTCATATCTCTTTGACCGTATTTCAGCCACCTCAAGACTATCATCATTTCTATTATATGTCTACGGCCCGATACCCGTGGAACTTACTACGATGTTTTCCAGTTCATGTGAACTACTTCATAGGGACAGTTTCTTACAAGACCCCCCTTCGAATATACCAAGGTATAAATATGAAGGAGGAACGCAATTCTGCATGATCATGGATATAGATCTCCGCCGGCTTGAAAAGTATGTGATTGCTCAACCCCAGCAACTGACTGCTCATGGAGAAAGCCGACTATCCGGGAATTAAGGACGATTCCCTGTTGTCTCGTAACATCCAAAGGGGGAATAAACAGCAGACCTATTCACGTCGAGTCACACGTTCCTTCCTAAAAAGCGAATCACCCAACTTCATTTCTATCCACCAGCCGAGCGACCCACTTGATCGAATAGACAATATTCCAGGCGGCGAGCTTCCCAGTGATTGCCTCCTCTTTTACATCCCTAGCCGTTCAATCTAATCCGATATCCTTGATTCCCCTATGCTGTCTCGCAGTAAACCTTCTACTTGTTACAATGGTCATAGTAATCCACTCTGACATCGGTCAGTTTGGCAAACTGGCGCTAACCCGCGTTATTACCTAGATAGGTCTTGCAGCCTGCGTTCGCTTTTACGCCGGGGCCACAATCAGGGAAGAGGGCCGTGGTAAAGAAGGAGATCAAGGCTAGGGACCTCTTCCAGTCCCTTAAGGCTTTCCCGATAAGCCTACGGTGACCCTAGAGGTGGGAGTTTCCGAGTCTCATTTAAAATGTACTCCAAAGGATAGGAGAGTTCGTTAGAATCCAAGCAACTAGGTGCTAAGCACCATATATGGGCATATGTTACTGAGTAGGTACCGAAGGAATTCATATCTAGCTATGTGACCGTACTATCTGGCCCAGTCAGTTGTAATCCTACCCAGAGGATCTCTGATCAGGGCGACGCGCCCTGTTGGACCAAGAGCTTGACATAATCTAATAATCCTTTTGTAGAACTATAATGAAGGGGCGCACTTATGCTACTCACTGTGCATATGAAAAAAATATTTATTGCCGCAGTTTTAATACATAATATCATTAAGTGGAAGATCATAGTCCAGAAGGTAGCAAACTTCTAGCCGATCATCAAGCTCCCGTATTGCCGCATGAAGTATCACTTGGCCATACTCGGAGATATTTACACCCCAATCCTTTGTCTCTCTTCAACCTCTCTTATCCTTTTATTTCCCTCCAACAAACGCCGAGGTTCGTGTGGTCTTCACCTTTCTTGAATACACGCCGAACCATTTTTCTGTTTCATCTCACTTCACGCAAAGGTTCGTGAGCTCCCTCATATATCACATTTTCCTTTCCCTTTGACGTGTCTGATAAGTCGCAGTGTACCAATTCCTCTCAACGGGCTGTTCTTCTGATTCTACCTCTTTTGACTCGCCCCAAGGTTTGTTTGATCCCCCATATATCAATTTTCTCTACAATTTGATGTTTCTTACAAGTGCTGCCAGTCAAGTTCTATCCCTCCTTTCAATCGTTGACATCCTACGTTATGGAGGGCAAACGAAAGCATCGCATCGTAAAAACAGGAACCCCACAGACGCTGAAGTCGAGACTAGTGGTCTGCCTGAGAACAACAGGGGCTTACCGTTGCTTTCAATGTGTGCTCTTCGACGCTCAGAGTCGGTAACTGGGCGTGTGGACTGGTATTGCCCGATATATCTATCTTGACTTCGTCTTGATCATAGATCTGCAGAGGCCACAAATCGATATCCGCATCACCATAAGATGAACTGATGACAATGACCAGCACTTCGACCATCCTGCGAATGTCAGGTTCCATATTCCAGCTGGTCAGATCAAGGGTATCCATTGTTGGCTCATTATTGCCCCAAATGAGGCACGCTTATACCCCTTGGCTCTCGATTGTCTTATATGGAAACAGTCGGCTAACATTTGAAACATATACAGGATCAGAATACCAACCCGATTCCCTTTGGGATTACTGCAGACATTGCCAATGAAAAAGACGGGATTGTCGCTTTCACCGAGGATCTGCAGATATTCCACTTCGATTCTCAACTATGCCCATGTCGTCACCGGTAGGAATCTCGTCCGTCGACTTCTTGCAGAGAATATTGTGGAGCCTGGCAAAATCGCCATCATTGCAGGGTACGAGGCGCAGTACACAGTCTACGTAGCAGTCGCGGCCCGCTGTATTGAGCATGATGCATCAGGAAGCGAGGACTGGTTGAATATCAGTATACATAAGATCGACTCATTCCAAGGCATGGAGGCCAGCATCGCGATAATCGACGTAGTCCGCACAAATGAGCTCGGATTCATGCGTGAATTCAGGTAACGTGGTTTGTAGCCGCGATCGCTTTGGTTTGTACGTTTTATACAACCAAACAGGCATGAAGAATGCCTTGGATCGTACGCCAGCCTTCTTTGTCAAGACCATCATGCTTTAGTACATTAGTGATAATCAACTGTCTTTCCCAGCCCCGGCGACAGGTTACGAGTCTGAGCTTTCAAGTCTGGGAGTTCCATATCTCGAGAAAGCGCAGGCAACCCCATGTGATGATGAACCATCTCAATATGTTACCCATATACGATGCTGGGCGGCCTCAAGTCATGCTAGTGAGCAATATGGAAATCTTACCTTTAAAGAGCAGCTGCTCGGTCTCGCGCCAACCAATATCACCACATCTCGTACTTCAAACATAGACGTGGGGTAGTTCATCCGGATACTTGAGCCTTGACACTTTGAACTGAGAAAATAGAAAAGCACCAAAAGAAATAGCTACAACCTCCCAAGAAAAGGTTGAAGTCTACACATTCTGTGGATGGACCCGGTAAATGCGAAAGATCATTGTAGCCTTAGTAGTCTTTTTTGAACAATTTTTTGTCCACTAGAGAGTACGGCAAAAATGCACATTTCTATAAAACATCATATATATTATTCTCATCCCTCCTCTCTCCCCATTAGTTTAAATAATACCAATTTGTGTTTTAAACAATCTACTATTGAGATCTCGATATTCGGCTTGATGTCCATGCACTGCAATTTAATAAACTAAGGATACCTCCAAGGTGTCCGATCAAATATAATTCATATCACGTTCACTTTCCCAACCTCCCATATTGTTCAATAATCCTCATTTTTCCTCTATTGTTCAGTACAACGTTTTATCTCTCGAGAGTCCAAGGTGGCGTCAGTACTACCCCAATTAAAATCTTAAAATTTACTATGGTTGTATAGTGTGTGGTTGATTTAAAGAGTGCACGAGTACATGCTGTAGTTGCCCTGGAAAATTGATATCTAACCTCGGCTATGAGCTGGTAGGATTTCTATTTCCACCCCATCCTGCGTGGAAGGTGTACCCTTGAGGTCCCACACCCAGCTTTATAAGTCCACGACTGGCGGGCTGCTCGCTCTCAGCCGTAGAGTCACCTGTCACATTGCGTTCGGGTAGAAATGAGGCAAGATTCTCCATGCGCTCCTGTGCTCGCTGCTGGAGATGCTGTATGCTTCCCTCTGTCAATACTTCACCCTCATCTCGCTGGTCATAAGCTGCCTGCATGACGGCGGGTGCCCAAAAATCTGCCAGCTTAGTCTCATCGCGTCCATGGGCATAAATCTTCTTTACACCGGACGGTGCAAGTGTATCTTTGACCTCGCGAGAGGACCTCCAAGTCGAGTGAACAACCCGGTAGCGTCGCTCAAGGAAGGTGATCACGATCAGTGTGATAATCCATAATTGTGTGAGGACGCAAAACCACCAGAGGAAGGAGTTATTGCGCAATCTATTTATCCAATGTGGAGAATAGACAGTAACGAAGGTATTCCGCGTGGAGGCTGTGATTTGAATGTGGCCGCGGTAATTGATTGAGCGGAGGTACGACTTCAGCTCAGAACGTAGAGGTTCGGTGTCGAGTCCTTCAAGCTCTCGGGTGAAGGTAAATGATTTGACTCTAGCAGGATCGTGACAGAATCTTTCGCACCAGGTCATCAGGCTAGGAGTCCCTTCATTTGAGCCGTCAATCTCCGCGCCCAGGAGGGTTTGATCTTCCAAATCTTCGTTTCCCTCTAAATCTATAGCTTGATAACGATTTCCTTGGCCTAGAGGCTGCTCCCATTCAAGAGATGGAATAGGCCCACCACGAAAAGCCTTTTTGCCGTCCCCATCGCGAACAATGTGCAGTTCGTGCCACTCACTATCATCCTCACCAAGGCGTAGCAATGTGGATGTCAAGTCGAGCTTGAAATTGAAATCTATTTCCTTCTCGTTAGAATCGTTGCCTTTGTCCTTCAGCCCTTTGATTTCAACATACTGCCGCGGCGGCAGTTTATGTTGAGTGGAAAGGAGGCTATAGAGAGCACGTGGGTTGTTAGAGAACGATGGATATAGCGTTCGGATGCCAGTTTTGTCCTGCCGAGTACATTCCCAGCCGCCTGGGATCGAGTCTTCGACTGGGGTGGAGTCGATCAGGTTGTACAGTTGAGGTTGCTCGCCATGGTTGATGGGCTCGAGAGGAACGTCAGAGTTGGATGGTCGACCCATTTTGATGTATTTGATTCTTTAATAGAGAGGACATCGGTTTGTTTTAATACCAGAAAGAGCTCAAGGCACCAAGTAACTGGTCATTGAGACATCCCATTTAGCCCGGAATGCGCCCTGGGGAGGTATACGGCCCAATATTATTCCACTCAGCTGAGAGGTCAGTGCGGTGGAGGGCGATCCTCATCCTATCCATTACGCACCCCCCAAACAGGGCGCTCACCATATATCAAATGATTCTAAATAGACTCTATAATCCTATGCAGTGGTATAGCAAGCACATACGACCATAGGGTGTGGAAAACAGGGCTTCCCGTCCGCTCAGCCGTACTTAAGCCACACGCCGGTGAGTTAGTAGTTGGGTGGGTGACCACCAGCGAATCCTTACTGTTGTATGTTTTTAAATTTTGTATTTTTTGTGTCTGAAAAAATCCTTAATGTGTCTTCACATCGATTGGTGACTAGTCTCGGTAACATGACATACGCTCCTTTCCTTTTTTTTTCTTTTCTTTTTTTCTTTTTGCCCGAAATTTACTTACAGAATGCATGCATTTAGACCCCCGGCTGCAATTTTCTCCCTCTCGATGGCTAAATGTTCGCTATCTTTAGAACTAGTTGTCCCGGACTTTGACGTATTAGTGCTCGAAGCTATCCGATCGATCGAACTATAGGCAAGATGTTGCGAGACTACGGATACAATCTTAATCATCCTGAAGGAAATTCGCCAAAAAGTGCGTACATCCATCCGACCAAATTAAAGATGTAACTTCGTTTCGGATCTAGACGGTTTATATAGGAGGTGAGTAGGGTGATACATTTCGAGATTTTGAAATTTGAACGTGTATTTATAGAATGGGTATACCGAAAGATTCATTGGCGTTGAAGTCATGTAAGCTATCGAGAAATGTTATTTTTCACCTTGAATGAAGTAGACGTTAGCTACACCTGAAAACATCCCAGTGGACTTAGTTTTGTGAGGCAGCAATTGCAAGAATATGAGGGCGGTCACAGTTTCACCGCCATTTTATATCATGTTGACCATTGCGCTGAACCATCGCATTGCTGTAATTTCATGTTGTTCTTGTCTCCGGTATATTTCTCGTTGATCTCCCTCAGGCTTCTCCGTCGGCTGCCTCTTGAAACGGTCTTATGCCAAGGCCTGTATCAACAGTATTGTCTGTGAGGAACCCTGACGATGAGTCTCTAGGTGAGTTTCACCTAGCCGAGACTCACGCGCTAACTTCCCCGGAATGGCAAGACTTATACCGGAAACGAAGCTTGAACAATTTGGGAGCATACACCAGTATCACATTTAACGTTTCACATATATTTAGGGCCGAGGAGGTTGCGATACATCGTTGTATTGCCGATGACACTAGGGGTCCATTGCCAAGAGTGCCCCTGAATCTCTTGGCGAACGCCGAAAATGTCTCCACTTCAAATGGGCTTTCAGTCGACGTAAGAGGCTGGCGCTTAATTATAGCGGAATCAAAATCTTTTGCGTCCCTGGATCTCGCTGCCCGGTGGGCCGCTAGTTCAGTCTCGATACCTCTATTATGTTGTACGCCATGACTAATGTGTATTCGTGTTGTTGGATATCGGCTGAGATCTGTGGGGAAAAACTCTTCCTGTGAAATGCTAAGGTCGCGTATTCGGAAACAGGGTGTTAAAACCATGTTATGCCTTACGTGTCTGCAAGTACTATGCCGATCGGCCACTGCATTAGGGGCTATATATTGCCTCGCCTGTAGGATGGATTCATTTAGATTAAGTTTAGATTTAGTTACCCCACAGATTCATTTAATTTCATCTATTCCGAACTACGACAAGGCTTGGCGATGGAATGAAAGAAGATGAGCTAATCAACTCCAAGCTCTAATGGATAATGTATCTGTTCCAGGGGTGAGCGCAGTTCGAAGGCGTATAAATACCTTGGTAGCCTCTTTCTCTCTACTCAGTAGGTCCATTTGTCATTTTCTCAGTCACTCTTTACACGATACCATATTCGCTCTTTACAATGCAGTTTACTTTTGCCCTGTTGACCGCAGCTGCGCTGCTGACCCCTGTCTATTCCAATGGAATCACCCCTATGAGCCGCCGCGAGACTGGCCTCAAGCTCGAATCCTGCACTACCAGTCAACAGGCCGTAGTCGAAGCCGCCGTTCAACGCGCCGCCTCGCTCGCCAAGGCCGCCGCTGACGCCGCTATCAACGGCGACGCTAGTATCTTCGAAGAGTACTTCCGCACTACCGACACCGCATCTCGCCAGGAGGTCGCCGCCCGCTACGAGGCCATCGCCAACGAGGCCTCTAATCTCAGCAGCGGCAAGGTGACCTACAACTGTGGCAATGGCAGAACACAGAGCGACTGTGGCGGCAGTGGTGTCCTCGCTTACGTCTCTGGCAACAACAGGATCTTCAACTGCCCGGACTGGTATAAGATTGTGCCCGCGATCGACGACTGCGGCGGCACTGATCAGGCCCTCGCCATGGTCCACGAACTATCGCACATAAGCGATGTCTACAGCCCGCCCACCCAAGACTTCGCGTACAAGTACAACGCCCTCGTCAAGCTTCCCAAGGAGCAAGCTGTCCTGAACGCCGACACCTACAACCTCTACGCTGGTGGTGAGTTTTGCTTTATTCCCCTGCCCATCATGACATGCGACTCGTTAACTGACTGCATCATCCAGCCATCGATCTTGAGTGCCAGGTTGGTGAGAGTAAGGGCGTTGAACTCCCGGATTGGATGGTCGCTGAGATCGAAAATAACAACAGTAAATAGATACCTATTTGTACACATCATCGTCTGATTCTGCTAGACAGATCCTATGGGACTTACATAGTATTTCTTTTTTTTTTTTTTTTTTTTTTTTTGGCTGTCTCAAATTAGTTCGTTGTCAATAGGTTTTGCTAAATATAGAGCGCTTTGTTGCTTAGTGGTGCGAAAAGGAGCAACGGAAAGCCAATTATATTCCTATTCTAGGTCCTCATTATCCTTTCTTCAGGAGTTGAGTGAAGAGTGGTTTGCAATTGGAGCGGCTGCCCTAGCAAGAGGCTACAACTTCCTCGCCTTCGATGGCCCCGGACGAGGTGCAGCTATCCGACGACAGCATCTGCACTTCCGGCCCGACTGGGAGAATGTACTCACTCCTGTTGTCGACTATGCTTTGACTCGCACGGACATCGATGTCAATGCGATAGTCATCTTTGGGTGGAGCATGGGTGGATACCTAGTGGCACGAGGAGCTATGCAAGATCATCGGGCCCAGGCTATCATCCTAGATGATGGCGTGTACGATTTTGGTTCTGCATTCCCTCCCAACTAACCTTCATTCAGAAGTTGGTTGAACAAAAATACGATTGGATTTACAATTGGATATTTCACTGCGTACAATCCTTTTCGACCGGGATTCGGTGGGCTCTGCATAACGGCAAATGGACCTTCAGCGTGGAATCCGCTGCGGATCTGAGTCGTGCAGTCAACAGATACACTTTGGAGGGGATTAGTCAATGTGACACCGTGTCTGATAATTGACGCAGAGAATGATCACTTTCTGAAAGACCAACCAGAGGTACTTCGGAAGAATTTCCACTGCGAACACACACTTGTTAGTCTGCGAGCAGACGATGGTGGAGACACGCATTGTCACCAAGGCGCCTTCTTTCGACTTCATCAAGTTGTCTTTGATTTCCTGGAACCGCGCCTCACCCCAGATGAAAAAAAAATGTAACTATTGAGGAGATTTACTATCTTAGTTTTTATCGTTTCTCCTTACTCCCTGAAGTTAAGGTCACTCGCAATGGTGCTATAATCATAACAGAGAAAAGTCGTCTCATAGTTCGTGCTTTTTACCGCCTTCGTATACATCTAAAAAGGGGCATTCAAAAACATATCGGAATGTGCTTAGATATAACGTCCTAAAAATTATCCTAGGCTAAATATACCTACGTTATTGGGGATAGAGGCCGTCTAAGCGCCCGAGTATTCTTATTATACTTAGTATCGTGCTTTGAGTCCATTGGTAAATCCTTCGCTTGTCGAGAATTGATTCCGTGAGATTGGATGAAACTTAGTCGTTGCTTTCAAGGTGTCATGATCTTCGCCCTTCTTATACTTCTTGGTCGCCTCCATGAAATCATTCGCAAAGTAAATGAGATTGCCACGACTACTAATCTCTTGCGGTAGGTCGTTATCCGTGCTGCTAGCCAGCTTCTCACTTGTTTCGGAAGAGTCTTTCATTTCTCGTCTGGACTCCTTCTCATAGGCCATGGGAAAGACTTGCTAACCAAATTGTGGAGGTTAAGGCTTTGCAATATGTTTTCGAGTTTGACAATCCACATGTCCAATTCCTCTCTTTCCTTCAAAGAGTGGAAATCTTGCAATGATTGAAACTTCCAATCTCTAGAAGGCCACTTGATTGGTTATCAACAACGATATCTTCATACCAATGGTAATTGAAGTATCCAAACACATTTGATTCTAAACAGACTCTATACTTCTCTCCAATGCCATATCAATCACATACGACCATAGGGTGTGGAAAACAGGGCTTCCCGTCCGCTCAGCCGTACTTAAGCCACACGCCGGTGAGTTAGTAGTTGGGTGGGTGACCACCAGCGAATCCTCACTGTTGTATGTTTTTAATCTTTTTTGTTTATATAACTAAGTTGTATAACTATAACATGTACATGTAGTTATAAAGTGGCTCACTATTGTATGTTCTTAATTTTTTTTATAGTTATATAATGTACATGTATAAAGGTGAAACAAGTTCAAAGGGCCTATAGTTATAATGTTATATTGAATACATAAACATAACATAAGGTAAGTAACATAAGTAGTTCATGCAGGCACATCAGTGGATTATAACCAAATCACGCCATCTGCACCCCGCCAACTCCCCCCCCTTCTCGTATTTATTTCCCTTTCCTCTTAAGAATACTGTTTCTTCTTTCTATATTCCTAAATCATGTCTGAGAATCACCACTTTGATACTCTGCAGCTTCATGCTGGGTAAGTGTCTGATTACCCTATAAAGACAAATCTAACATGTTAAAGTCATGAACCCGACTCAGCCACAAACTCACGAGCCGTCCCAATCTATGCGACCAGCTCGTACGTCTTCAATGACTCGGCCCACGGCGCAAGGCTCTTTGGCCTCAAGGAGTTCGGTAACATTTACAGCCGAATCATGAACCCGACTGTCGATGTCTTCGAGAAGCGCATTGCAGCTCTGGAAGGCGGTGTTGCCGCCGTTGCCGCCTCATCTGGTCAGGCTGCTCAATTCATGGCCATCTCGGCCCTCGCCCATGCTGGAGACAATATCGTCGCCACGAGCAACTTGTACGGCGGTACCTACAACCAGTTCAAGGTGATGTTCCCCCGCCTGGGAATCAATACCAAGTTCGTTCAAGGTGATAAGCCCGAGGATATTGCTGCCGCCATTGATGACCGCACCAAGGCCGTCTTCATTGAGTCGATTGGTAACCCCCGCTACAATGTGCCCGACTTTGAGGCCATTGCCAAGGCTGCACACGACAAGGGTGTTCCCGTTGTGGTATGTTTGTTTGGAAAGCATATGAAGGTGTAAAGCTTACTAATTTTCTTTTAGGTTGATAACACCTTCGGTGCAGGTGGTTACTTTGTTCGCCCAATTGACCACGGTGCCGACATTGTCGTGCACAGTGCTACTAAGTGGATCGGTGGCCATGGTACCACCATTGGTGGAGTCGTGATTGACAGTGGAAAGTTTGACTGGGGAAAGAACGCTGCCCGGTTCCCCCAATTCGTCGAGCCATCCGAGGGCTACCACGGGTTGAAGTTCTGGGAGACCTTCGGCCCACTGGCTTATGCTATCCGGGTGCGCGTTGAGATCCTGCGTGACCTTGGTTCTGCCCTGAACCCCTTCGGTGCCCAGCAGTTGATCCTCGGCCTGGAGACCCTGAGTCTGCGCTGCGAGCGACACGCAACTAACGCCATCGCCCTGGCTAAATGGTTGCAGAAGAATGAGAATGTGAGCTGGGTCTCATACCCCGGTCTTGAGGATCACCCTAGTCACGAGCTCGCAAAGAAGTACCTGACCCGCGGCTTTGGTGGTGTGTTGTCTGTGGGCATCAAGGGCGGCGCTACCGCTGGTGCTCAGGTTGTTGACAACTTCAAGTTGATCTCGAACCTTGCCAAGTATGACTTCATTCCCATTCGCTCTCTGAAAGCATCTACTAACACACTGCAGTGTCGGCGATTCCAAGACTCTGGCCATCCACCCTTGGTCCACCACCCATGAACAGCTCACGGAGCAGGAGCGTCGTGACTCCGGTGTGACTGAGGATGGAATCCGCATCTCGGTTGGCACGGAGTACATTGACGATATCATTGCTGACTTTGAGCAGTCCTTCCAGGCCTCAAAGGCTGTGCCAGACCGTACTGCTTGAAGGCTCTGACACATGTGGATGCTGTGTATGAAGGAATACAGAAAGGACACTACATAGCGGCATGGTAAAATTAGTGATGACCTATGATATCAATGAACACTTTTACAAGATGCATACAAGGCGCGCCCGTAGATGTGCCAGACAGCCACACGGCTGAGCCAAAAAAAAAACAAAAAACAAAAAAAACTTTTACAATCACAAGGGAAGCATGAGGTAATGTCAATGATTTGAATTTCTCATACATTTCGGTTCATCCCGAATGTGTCCTTGTTCAACCGTCGGCGAGAGCTGCACAACTTGAAAAATTAAGGTAGAAGTGCAGAAAGAAAACCTCCACCCGCCAAACGATATGCCTCAAGATAATAAAAAAAAATGTTCAATCCACCCCCAACGCCTTTGCCATGCGCGGCGCGCGCATCCTATTTGGACCATATGCACGCATCAATGAGGAATGAAGAAAAAAATCAGTTGCCCTGACCACCGGAAGGAGGCTGACTACCGGGCATACCGGGCTGACCACCCATCATAAATCCAGGAGGCAGCATGGGCATGCTGGCAAAGTTGAAACCATAAGAAGGAACTGCAGGTGCGGCTCCCTGGTTCATGTTAGGCATGTCAACTTCACCCATCTGGGGGCCACCGTATCCATCACGCTCGGGACGGCGACCGCCGAAACGGGCATCCTGAGGGTTGGGGTTGGTACGAGTGGAAATTGGGCCCCGTTTGCCGCCAGTGTCAGTGGCGATGCGACGGCTGATAGCCTTGGAGGAGACACCTGCTCCGATTTCGATATCGGGTTCCTCAACAATCATTCCAGATTCAATAGGACGTCCACCAGTTCCGCCATACTCCGCGGAAATCATCCACTTACGATCAGCCTCGGTCAATCGCTCAATCGGAATTATGCTAACTCCAGTCTGGTAGTCGCTGCAGTCACGGGGACCGAAGCCAACACCCCAACGGGTCTACATTCATATAGTTAGTGATAAGGTCCAAACCACCCACAGAGGGCAAGAAAATAAAAAAAGAGAATGACTTACCCTGAGTTGCATCTCGCCGGTACGGTAAGACTCCATTCCATCACGTGCCTGCATGGCATCGGTGCGGCTAACCATCTTAATAAAAGCGTGGCGCTTGTCCACGTTGACAATGCAAGTTTGAACAATTCCGAACTGACCAAAGAGCTGACGCAGGTGAGCCTCCGAGGAGGTGACACCACCAACGAAAAGAGTTCGACTCAAGACTTTGATCATACCCTGACCAATCGAATAGTCCCATTCAATGAACTTGGGTCCAGGGGGAGGAAGGTTTGGATCCTTGTTACGAGCAGGGGAAGGCGAGCGACGTCTACCACCAGCACGACCACCAGGGGGGCTACGCTGGCGATACTCATTACCACGACGGCCACGCGCATCACGGGGGTCTCCACGGCGGCCAGGCGATTCACCATACTCTCCATAAACAGGGCTGTCGCGACGACGAGGGGGCGAAGCAGTACGGCGTCTATCCCAGCCTGGAGAACGAGAACGACGACGATATCCAGTGGGGGGCGAGCGAGGGTATTCGCGGCCACGATCATCCTTATTCTGGGCGTCCGAGTGACCCCATCCACCGACGTTCTGTCCTTGCATAGGGTTGAATCCAGCCATCGGGCCTCCAGGCATCGCAGGCATGCCAGGCATACCGGGCATACCGGGCATACCGCCCATGCCGTTGTTGTTAGTCATGCTGAAGAGCTGCAGGGCAGTTCCCCACTGGTCCTGAGGGATACCCTGGGCAGCGAGCATCTGAAGAAGTTGAAGCTGCTGTGCCATGGCGTTCGGGTCAGGTGCGGCAGGCTGCGCAGCCTGAGGAAGCATCGCGGTCAATGGGTTCGCGGCAGCCATCGAGATCG